GCTCTGCATGCTTCAAATGTTTTGAAATGAAGTTTTATTCCCGTTGTCCCGAGTAGCCCCAACCGACGGGGCTACTCGGGACAATCTCTATTTTGCGTCTGGCACCTTACAAATAGCATATGGAATTTTTTTGACAACGCCATTCGATAGCCCTGCCAATCAGCTATAAAATGAGACTAAACTTGTTTATGAAATGTTTCATCGTAAGAATTAACTGTTATATAAAACTAATCGTTCAAATCTGTCCCGAGTAGCCCCAGTTGACGGTAATCATTGCCAACCCTGTTTGCAGGTTCCTAATGATGCCAGCAAAACTGCAAACAGCAAAAATAAGGAGTTGGTGAAGCATCCAGCCTTCAGGCAGATATCAGCCATCAATGGAGAAATCAACAGAATGTCTGTAAAACATCTGAAAAGTGAGTGATGTGTTTATTCATTCTTATCTATCAATCATGTATGAAATTTATTATGTATGCTATTTTTGACACACATGTATTCAAATTACTTAATACTATTGTGGTTATTGTGAAACCTTGCAATTGAAAATTTTTTTAAGATACTACACTTGAATTGTGTTTTGATTAAATCACTTCAAGAGTGTTTCTGTCATAGTTGAGTTGGAGAGACTCAGTTTTGATGGACGAGGCTGCAAAGATGTGTTGAGGAAACGACTGAAAGCTTACGAGAGAAGTCGAATCTTGTCTGAAGCCTGCATTGAAGATCCTAACATGGGACATCAGCACTACACTCACATTGTAGTTATAGACTTTGAAGCTACTTGTGAGGAACATCAAACTAAAGACTACATGTAGGTCACTTCTTATTAATTAAGTCATCATCCATATAGTTGAGACTACAACAAATAATTTAGATTTTCTTGCTGCCAATCAGAGGATAGAAGATCAATTGAAGAAAATATTGAAATTTATACTTGTATATAATTTGTGTTCTAACAAAATTACCCAATAATGTTATTGTTTGATGGTAAAATATTGAACAATTGTTTAAAGTTAAAACAGGTATAACATAAAACTTATTTTCATAGAAAAATATTCTATAATATTTTTTATTTCCTTAAATGTTTTCAACTTTCATATTATTATAATACTATCATTTTTACAATCAAATAACGTTGCTGCTAATGAGTAACAACATCATCAGAATAAATGGTGCTAAACAATTCAAGTTGGATTGTGAAGAGCATGGCAAGTTGAAAGTAATTATGATGGGAATAATTATCTGAGAATCTGAATAAATCCATGATCTTTGTGCAGACATGAGATCATCGAGTTTCCTGCTGTGCTCATACGTGTGTCTGATGCTGCTCGAGTTGGTGAATTTCACAGCCTTGTGAGGCCAGTCCTCAACCCAACCCTTTCTGATTTTTGTCGTCAGCTGACTGGCATTGAACAGGTCTGAATAATTGTGTGCAACTCCATTAAAAGTTTCAGCTGTATTACAGTATTTGCTACTTTGAACTTTGAAATTTCTGATGGTTTAAAATGCCTTTGAAATCATTACTTATAAAGCTGTAAAGAAACCAGGTTAGCCAAAGGGTATAAATTATCAATGCATCAGAATCTTGATACTCCAAATCCCTCTGTCCCAAATCCCACCACACCAATACTCAAACACCCTGTATCTCACTGTCACCTATTCCCACTGCAAATATAATTTCAGGTCCATGTAATATCACAAAATAATGCCAGCATTTTGGATATGCGCTATGACAGTTACATATATATTTTTGGGGTGCCCAGCTTTTAACACAGAATCTCACATGCACATGGAGTTTTATCTTTTCACTCCTCTTCTTCATATATTTTATTTTCAGTTCACCTGATTTAAATATTGGTCTGAGAGTCTGATATATTAGATGCTGTAATGGTTATATTTTATTATGTAATCTTGCTGATAATCATTTAGTTGAGATGAAGAATGTGATTTTCAAACTAATTAAAAATAAGCTATTCATTATGGTCATCTAATTTTCGTTAATGAGCACTTTTATGAAAGTATAATGTTGTTTAAATGTTTTAATATTCAGATTACCGTGTTTGCAAATGATAGCAGGCAGGTTTTATTAAGATGTGAATAACGTTCAGAAATATTAGCCAACTCGACTCTGTGCAAAATCTAGCCACATTCTCTACCAACCTAATGAAGTTTTGCTGCCAAACAGATTGATGTTGATGCAGCTCCCACATTCCCTACTAATCTAATGAAGGTTTACTCCCAAACAGAGTGATGTTGATGCAGCTCCCACATTCCCTACCAATCTAATAGAGGTTTACTCCCAAACAGAGTGATGTTGATGCAGCTCCCACATTCCCTACCAATCTAATAGAGGTTTACTCCCAAACAGAGTGATGTTGATGCAGCTCACACATTTCCTACTAATCTAATGAAGGTTTACTCCCAAACAGAGTGATGTTGATGCAGCTCCCACATTTCCTGAGGTACTGAACAGCTTTGAAAGCTGGCTTACACAACAAGGAGTTGGTGCGATGCCCACTCGCGACTTTAGACACGGCGGCCATGGCAGTTCTGGTTCTTCTGAGTCTGGTGATGTGGCTGCGCCAAGAGCTCAAACAAGTCCCACACGCATCGAAGCGCTACACTCTGAAGCTCTGGGCAAGTTTTCTGTCGTCACAGATGGGCCCTGGGATATGGCTCGGTTTTTGCTAATGCAGTGTTCTGTGAGTAGTGTCAGCGTCATACAGTTTGTAGTCTAGTCTGATTTGCAATGAATCAATCTACTTTTGATATAAATAATTTCCAAATGTCCTTATACCACCCAGAAAGTGTACACGCTGATTCACGGAAACGTCCTGATTTGAAAGCTCAATAAAACAAGAACTAGTAAAGATATCATTACAATATAAATTTTATTGAAAAAGACATCACCTGAATTTTTGTATCACTGTGTTTTAAAGATGACTTTGTACAAATGATGGCCTCCACTGTCTATGCAGTCAATTTTTGAAGTTCCATTCAACGTGCTGAAGCATATTGACATGTATATTTTGGCGATGGCTTGGCGTATGTGGTTCTTCAAATGAGGTAGAGTTCTTGAACAGTTATTATAAATAATTGATTTAAAAATCACATGGAGATAAGTCGGGGATCGGGCTGGCCAAAGAAAGTCACCTCTCAAGGAGTCGAGGTGCTCTGCAAAATGTTGGCTCAGAAGATCTCCTCCCTGTTGGAGATGACATCTCTGACATTCATTTCAGAAAAAAACGTAAATTATTTGCGTGTGGCCAGCTGCAGTCACCATTACTACGCGTTCGTATTCTTCAAAGAAATAAGGGCCAATTATGTCTATTTTTGACACCACACATTTACGCGTTCACAATGAAATGGCCGCTGATTGCGTTTATGCGGATTGTGATCACTCCAATAACGCATGTTTTGCTTGCTGACGCTGCCGGAAATGCTGCATTCACATTTCCACTTGCTCTAAATGAGTTCACTTGCGTAGCAATCAATTTTCGATCAGGAACCCGAACTAAGGGACAGAATGCTCGTTGAGTAGCGATAATGAAACGGCCATTAGGAAAGTACGCCTCGAAAGCAAACGCACGCGACTCACTTGTCCAATGCATAAGGGCAACTGACTAGGCGGGACACAAAACTTCATGATCTTGCCTTTCATATGAAATACTTCCCCACACTTTTCCTACACCTACAACATCTGATTGCTTGGCGCGAAATACAAAAGAGGAAGATTCGTGAATAACCCTGTAGTATACATTTCTTTTTAAAAATAATAGTGAATGAAATACCATATATGAGGTCGATTTTTAGTGACTTCTTGATGTGTGTGCAGGTATCTGAACTACCGTTCCCCAGCTGGGCACGGTCTTGGATAAATCTACGAAAAGTCTTCAGTAATTTCTACATTACAAAGCGGGTGAGTGGTTTCTAAGTTCTACTAACTTTAATCTAGTGACATGCTAATGAAATTGTCTGGGAAATTTAATTCACATTCTTTGATGCGATTTTTAAAAAATGCTAGCTCAATAAGATATCGCCTTTGTTTCAGCTATTAATCGCTGAGCGTTTACTGTTAGATGATTTACTATCAATTTATGCAGCGTTCAGGTAAAGAAATTGCTTTTTTTTCTCATCTCATTTTGATCCGTATTAACCTGTGCAACTTATCAGAAGGTTGAACTGCCTAAATAATTAATGAAGTTGAAGTCAAGGAATGAATGAAGTCACAAGAATGAATGAAACTTCATTCGAGAATGAATGAAGTCACAACTTACGCCTATAGCTGTGTCTGTCGAAAATGTTTACACAGTCACAACTTACGCCTATAGCTGTGTCTGTCGAAGATGTTTACGCAGTCACAACTTACACCCATAGCTGTGTCTGTCGGAGATGTTTACGCAGTCACAACTTACGCCCACAGCTGTGTCTGTCGGAGATGCTCACGGCGCTGGGTATAGAGTTCGTGGGTCGCCCACACTGCGGACTGGACGACGCTCGTAACATCGCCGCCATCGCCGAGGTTCTCCTCAGGGACGGCGCATTGCCGCGCGTCAACGAGACCATCGCCCATCTCCCTCACTCCATGCCGCCCTCATTCAAGTTAGACGTCCATTTGTCTCATTATTCAATTCATTAATAAGCTCACCTAGTTTAATATAAATGTCAATGGAATAGCTGAGTTGTAGGTATCTAGATTTGTTCAGTACAGGAGTTAATTCAACTGAGTTAGTGTAATACATGTGAAAGTTTGTCTCCCGTTCAATATATACACGATAATTAGATGCAAGATTATTTCAGTTAATGACTTTCAATGCTCCATAGTTGGCCATAATGACGTTTTCGAATGCAGAAATGTTGGTGCTTTTGTTATTTCACTGTTGTCTTGTTATTTTATTACTGTTTTGTTATTTCACGGCTGTTTTGTTATTTCACTGCTGTTTTGTTATTTCACTGCTGTTTTGTTATTTCACGCTGTTTTGTTATTTCACTGCTGTTTTGTTATTTCACGGCTGTTTTGTTATTTCACTGCTGTTTTGTTATTTCACTGCTGTTTTGTTATTTCCCCAATTAGATTGTGTCCCAACAGAACTGTTAGGTCTATGCAGTCATAACCCCATCATTAGAACTGTCAGGTCTGGGCAGTCAAAACCCCCATTATTTGAACTGTTATGTCTGTCCTGTCATGACCCCTCCATCATAACTGTTAGTCCTGTCCAGTTATAACTCTTATCATTTTTACAGGGGCAGCAGCGTCGCAAACGTAACCCTGAAAGATTTCAAAAGCTCCCAGCGCCGTCGGAACCGCAGCTCGTGTCCGAGCTCTTCTGATGTCCCCGAAGACGCTTCACCAGGCCTCCAAAATTCTGACGGGGACGCAATAATGGATGCCTTAAGCGCTGACGGTCCGGACTGCGGTGGTGTCGATGTGTTGTGTGATGATATCAGTGACTTAGCTGTTCGTACGGACGCCTCATCACATGCACTTACAAACGGAACCTCGCATTGTGTTCAAATGGATGCAGGAAGACAATTACCGAATGATATTCAAGATCTTCCTCACTATGGTTCCTCTGGGCGCCAAGGTTCTGGAGAGTTGACCCAACCAGGTGCATTTCCGAGATATGCTTCTGCCGACAGTTCGACAATCGCAATGATTAACGACCAATCTGGCTGTAATCAATTTCCGGTACTCGAGTCAATTTCAAGCGATCCATCTTGTTTGCAAGATACTTTGTCTGAAGAGATGCATTTTGATGCTCAGGTTATGACTTCTGTGGCTGCGAGTGAGTTACTGTTAGAACGTCCTCAACCTCAGTGTAATAATCCTTGCGAGCCAATGCGAGGCTCCAGTAGCGTTCCCAAAAAGAAATATTATGCGAATGACTTGGGAAGTTACGTGGAAATGAGTGATCACAGATACATTCATTACTCTCAGATTAATAACAGAAATAAATTTGTCGCCAAAAAATTCCCTAACAATGTTAATCCACATTCTGCCATCGCTGAGTCATCTTATGTCGAGTGTGAGGCAGGTAAGCAGACTAGTGGACAACCTGCAGTGTCGAGCAATAGCAGCAGGCGTGGCCGGAGAGTGAATACACACAAACCGCCGACGTCTCAAGCAGTTGGCGTGGAAGCCAGGCAACCAGGCAAGAGACAGCCATATTCTAGGCGTGGAGGTGGGATCAAAACTTCTTTTCACGGTGCACATAAAAATGTCACCGCACTCGATGATTGTAAAACATACAAAAACGTTGATTTTAATGACTCTTCGCAGTTTCCGGAGTTAGGCCCCCTCAAACGTAGCTACAAATAGCGGCGCTCTTGGCTTAAAGTATTACTTAGGAATAATTACTCAATTATAAACTCATTAAGATGAATTGTACTTCGTTTCGTTCGCTCTGCAGGGGCGCTGTCGTTGACATCCAATGTGTCGTCATTGTATGTCAAATTTTTGTATTCTATGTTATATGATGAACAATTATATTGTATAACGCTGATGCAGTTTTCTTTAACAAATATTGGAAAAAATATTTCTTGTAAATATTGTACAACCTGCTCACAAGACTCAAAAGTTTGAGCTACATAAGCCTGCATTACCTGTAATGCCCGTTCCTAGCGTTTATTAGGGCAGCTCATGAACAGAATGCAGCTCATGAACAGAATATGCAATTATGCATGTTCTATAAACCGAATAGAGTGAAGACGCTTATACTATTAACTTATACTAATCGATATTTTGGCTAGGATTTTAAAAATGATAGCTTTTTTATATCGTACTGAAATACTTACCTATATTTTTCCAACTTAACTGTTCAGTAAAAGTGTTTTTAGCTACTTTATGAACACCGAACAAATTCCGTCGATGATCAAAATGTGTCATCTGTGACCAAGCTCCCGCAGATTAGTATATCGAGCAGCTGATAAGATTTCTCGTGACGCCCAAGTTTCGAATTCATGAGTCACTCGAGAGGTCATGTTGGCAGGAATGATGAAACATTCTGCGTGTGAACTGCGTATTCAGTAGTCGTAGTAATTAATTTCGTTTGCGAATAAATTCGTTTCAAATCTTTATTTGGTTTTGATGTAATGATGAACATTTTCAGTGATATTTCTATCGATTTTGGTCATTCCTTCGTTAAGGAGTGAATTACAATAGTACCTGTTATCTAATTTTCTTGACTTAGCATAGCATAGCATAGTGAATTCGGCGCTGATGAATAGGCCTGATGTGGCCTGTCGCTGATTCTTGAACTTTTCGTGACTTGACCATATAGTAGGAGATCTATAAACAGATCCTTTATCGGATCTTTTCCAAACTGTCGATAGTTTGAAATATTTACTAGACTTCCCCCGGGTGCGAGGCATTTTGAGTCTGAACATATATTTCTCCATTGCTTTATCTAGTCTGCTCTTGAACGAGTTTATACTTGGAGCGTCAACGATGTTATCGGGGAGGCTGCTCCACATGCCGGTGACTCGAAGCGAGAAGAAATGTTGGCGCGTGGAGAAGTCGCAGCGCAGTTTTTTTAGTTATAGCCGTGGCCCCTGGTGTTGGTTCTTGTTTCAAATTCTAGTAATCCTTCTGGGACCTTGTATAAGCCATGATTATACTTGTATACTTCACTGAGGTCCCCACGCTGACGTCGATTACAGAGGCTTGGAAGCTTCATAATCTTTCTTCTTTCTTCATAGGACTTGCCATTCAGGCCTGGAATTATCCTTGTTGCACTTCTTTGAACACTCTTCACTAAATTTTTGACATTTTCAAGTTTAAGTGACAACACGACGTTTTCATACGTCAGGTACGCGCGCACGACAGCAACAAATAACTACCTACTTCATCGCATCTACATCTAGGAACTCGAAAGAGCGTCTTATCAGTCCAAAAAGTTTGTTGGAGTTATTAGCTTGCGTTTCAATTTGCTTAGAAAATTTCAGCTCCTTGTCGACATGAACTCCCAAATCTTTTTCCATGCTAGACTTTTCAATCATTACTCTCTCGTTGCAAACATGTGTTCTCATATCATCTTGCGTGTTCATTGTTCTTCCCGAGGTGAAGTACTTTACACTGGTCAGCATGAAAACGCAGCTGCCACGTATCAGCCCAGTTAACTAAACTGTCAAGATCATCTTGCAATTGCGCTTTAATTGACGCATTCTTCACTGAATTATAAACTTTTGTGTCGTCGGCATACATGGAGCACACTCTTGACACTACTTCTGGTAGATCGTTTATAAAAGCAACAACAAAACAGGCCCAAGAATGCTTTCTTGTGGCACGCCGCTGCGCACGGATGCCCAGTCCGATACGGTTCCGTTAATACTGACACTTTGTCGTCTGCCTACTAGAAAATCTCTGATCCATTGGGGAACATTTCCCTCTATTCTCAAAGACTTCACTTTATGCAACAGCCGCTCATGCGGATCACTGTCAAATGCTTTGGCAAAATCGAGGTACACGTACACTACTGCATCCAGGCTCCCTTTCGTCCAACAGGCGAGTTCAATACAGCCCGACGCAAAAGGTTAGCCCCACCCCTTTAAAACATCATAACACATCGAGTTTTGCGAGTTTTATTGTGCAAGTAGTGGCAAACGAATCGTCTTGGTCTCAGTAATCAAAATACAATAGATTGTAGTGAAAATGTAATTAGTAACGGAGAAAATGAAAAACACATGTTTTTACACCGACGCAAAAGGTTAGCCCCACTTTGCACACTTTGACATTTTAGGCAAAACAAAACATACGTCAGCTGCAAAACTAAAGGTTATTTACCGATATGCTCCCCGTTGGCTTTGTAGACCTCCAAGCACCGCTTTTTCATGCCCTGAGACAATCTACGGAGGTAGTTGGGGTCCAGATTGGACCAGGCGGCTTGAATGGCCAACTCGAGTTCTTCCTTCGCGGCATACTGCTTCCCGCAGGCGTAGACGATCCCAGCCATGTACCCCCAGACGTTCTCAATGGAATTCAGATCGGGGGACTTGGCTGGCCAGTCCACAACCCGGATTTTGGCACGCTTGAAGAAGGCCTTGGTCGTGCGCGCCGTATGGATTGAGACACTATCTTGTTGGAAGATGGCGCGGCGGCGAATTTGGTGGCGGATGACGGGAAGTAGATGGTCCTCGAGCGTTTGGACATAGTCGTCCGCGCACTGGTTGCCTTCGAGGAAGATGAGCTCGCTCGTCCCGTTTGCATGAAAGGCCCCCCACACCATTACACTGCCCCCACCATTTTGGCCGCTAAAAGCTGCCTTTGGATCATTCCAGCGGCAATGCCAGTAGTACTTCAGACCATCTGGGCCATCCAAGTTCCATTTCTTCTCATCAGAAAAGATGGTTTTGACTCAGGTGTCATCACTAGTATTTGCATACTTTGTGCCCCAGGCGACCCTGGCATGCTTGTGAGCCTCGGTCAATTGGGGGGCCTTGTTCATCTTCAGGTATTGGAAAATGCCGGAGGACGCGAGGGTGCGAGAGACGGTGGACTTGGAGACATTGAGCTCCAACTTTTGGACTAGTTTGGGTGCACTCAAGTCGCCGGGCGCCGCAACTCGGAAGAGGCGATGTGTGTCACGGGCCGACATCTTCTTGGGGCGGCCTTTGGTGTGCCGCTTTCCGTAGTTCACGGGGTCCTTGAGATAGTTGGAGAGTGCTTTGCGGCTACACCCCACTTGTGCCTCCATTTGACGCAGGCTAGGACGCTCGCCCTCAGGCAGCGCCATCAGGGCTTGAGTGGCACCTTTCTGAAATTTAGTTAGAGGCTTTCCCGCGCCCATTTCTTGCCTAGGTGAGCATAATATCCGTGCACAACTACTACGCTATGAACGCACCCTTTGCAGCGAGTCTACGCTGCGTCCTGTCCACAAGAGCGCCAAACTTGCAAAGTGGGGCTAACCTTTTGCGTCGGTGCAAAAACACGGACCGCTTGATTTTTCCGCCAGTAATTAACTTTTTCACCAAATTTTACCTGCTATAGATTGCAGAGCGCAAGACAAATCGTTTGCTACCATTTGCACGTTAAAACTGGCAAAACTCGATGTGTTATGGTGTTTTAAAGGGGTGGGGCTAACCTTTTGCGTCGGGCTGTAGTTCTACGTAGACATGAGGCTAGTGGTGAAATTTGCGAAGTTTCTGAATCAAATTCATTACATGTAATGTGGAAAAGTGTAAGAAATAATGGCTTTTGAAATACATGTCATGATGAATTGTAAGACTCATGCACCTACAAAAAAAATCATGTATGTTAAATAAGAAAATATGGTACAAATTCCTCTTAATTGGCTGTTCCACTGCTCTAGCCAGGCTCTTTCACGATGTACGTTATGTCTTGTAAAGAGATTCTTCGGCTATAATCCTCACCGAGGTAAAGAATTTCCCCCGTAACGAACAACTAAAAACGCATAATTGTGAATTTCTGTGGACAAAAAAAGGACGAAGTTGTGTTATCGCCCAAAGGAAGCCAGCCGAAGAGGAGCAGACAGGCAAATATTATGATAAGCCAGGGTTTGGGCTGTGGCCAACCTCAGGACTCCGCTGAGTAGAAGCGTCCATAATCAGCCAGTTGGATAACAGCACTCGCGTTGAGTGGTCGTTGTTCAATAATATCGAACAAAAGAGAGATTAATTATGGTGAGAATGTTACTGTGTTTAGTAAATGAACGGTTGTCAATAACCTGAGTGTTTGATGAGACGAAATATATTTGAGTTGCTCGATTTTGGACAGTTCGTCTTGGCGGAGTGGTTAAAGTTCAGAGTACTACTAGTGAGCTGTGGGTTCGGTACCACGTACCAGCTTCCTGTGACAGTTCTGGTAGAAATCGGTCAAGTGTCCGGGCGGTTGATGATAAGAAGATTGGATCAGTGAGTTTCGGATACAAAACCCCGGCAAGCGGCGAGGATTGTGCGATGTCGAAGAACGGCGACAGGACATATTTGGCTAAATGAATCATGAATGCTGACACCGCTATGACTATCGCTACCTACATATCACTATCAGCGATAAGAGTTTATCTCGTTCTTCCTGCCTTAGGCTTAGTGAACTTGAATGCTCAAGAACATGCACCATTGTAGGTGTGCAGCTTGCACAGTTATAACCAATTCTGGAGTGAAGAGAGAGACACCTAACCTAACCCACCGACAGTTGTTTGTGACATTTATCTAGATGACTTACTTCAGTTTCTTTTATATTTTAAATTAATACTTGGAATTCTGCACTCTGATTGACGTGAAACTTTGAATTATTCAAGATGACCGTACGTATTACAAATCGTAGTAGTATGCAGCATCCAATTATATATTTTAGTGTCATCATAACGCTACTTAACTCCTGTGAATTATCCGCAACGGCCCCCAAAATTGTCAATGATATTGTGTCACAATTCCACAAAGACTTCAACGCTTCACGATGCGCGTTTTCCCTCCAATGCCTCGATCGGGCGTCTGACATGAAATACATGCCAAGGCTACCAACCCTGCGGGATTTCTTGGGCACGACGCAAAATCACAACATCTCTGAGGATGACTCTTCCTCCCCAGCTTTCGAACAGAGGTGAGTTATTACTAATGATTCTACTTTATTAATAACTATGTTGATTAATGAGTTTTCTCAGCTTTTATATAGTTTTCTTGCATCGGATTTTTTTTATTAATATTGAACCTCGGCTCATAGTACTATGATACTAGTGCCAATAAATTTGTATAATAGATTTGAAAATTAAATTGTTTCGACTTGAGCTACTTTCGTTACTTTTAGTCTTTTTATGAAAGTTATTTTGACAACGTTCCTTGAATGCAATCAATGCAGAAAATTACGGAAATTTGATCAAAACTTCCATTAGTGGTCGAGTATCCTGAACAATGCAATAAAGTATCTTGAATTTTTCCAAAATTCATAACCCAGCAACCCATTTTACTTCAGTAAATACACGCGATCGGGCCACTGCAGAATTCATGATCGTACACTGCAGCAAAAAGTGTCTGCTGTTAAGGCTTGTCAGCGACTTGATTTTATTTGATCTTTGTTAAGTTTTAATAAAAAACTATTTTTTATTAAATTTTTACTTTGATTGGTGCGATGAAGATTTTTTACGGATCAATATATCTTTTATTCCCTGTTGCTGAAATCCAATTTTCATCTACACCATGATATTCATCACCTAGGCCAGTGGTTCCCAAACTTTTTCAGGCTGGCGCCCCCTTTGGCTCCCTAGTGAATTTCTAGCGCCCCCCACAGACACATATAAAATCATGCGCCTCTTTCTATAAAATTTAGTACGCTGCAATTATAAAAGATAAAGGTTAAACACAAATGTGTATTCACAAATAGAACCCCTTTTAGTGAACCAATATGTTTTTCAGCCGTTTTAAATGTTTCAGCACTAGAAACCTAGGACGTCTCGGGCAAATTTACGGCCGAACTCGTGGCCGGTCTCACGACAAATCTCCAAATTCAATTATCAAGTAATATCTCCCAAACTAATGAACGCAGCTCAATAAAACTTGTAACATGTATTCATCAGAACTTGACGGTGATGTTTAGCTTGAGAACATTTTTTAAATATCACCTTCATTCGTGAGTTATTTTGCTATATAGGCCGAAATTCGCAGTGATCAAAGAATTTCTTCCAAACTACCAAACAGATTTGAACGAAACTTTGAATATACAATTATACATTCATAACTACCAAATTGTGTTTTCTAGATTAAAAAAAAATTTGATTATACCGTCGTTTGCGAGATATTTTTCATTTCACCGTCATTCTTGATTTCGCACTTCCATATTCGCTTTCGTTCGAAAGTTATACAGATATAGGAGGAACGACCGGCTTTTCTACCGGCTGGTTTAACCAAGAGCCGTTTACGTATAGCCGTATAACTCGCAAACGAAGGCAAAACGAAAAAATCGTAACGAGCTAAACATCACCGTTGCTGAGGGTATAAGTATTACGATACTAAATTTCGTTCAAATCTGTTAATTAGTTTGGAAGAAATTTCTTGATTACTGCGAAGTTAAGCACGTATTGCTATTTAATTCACGAATGAAACTCGCGAACGAGGGCACAAGCGAAAATAATTTTCACGAGCTAAACATAACCGTTCGGTACTTAGGACTGTAAATTCAAAATTTCGTTCGATTCTGTTCATTAGTTTGGAAGAAATTCCTTGATCACTGTGAATTTCGGCCCGTATTGCCATATAAGTATGGTAAAAACAATTGAAGGCAAAATTCAAAAATTTTCACGAGCTTTACATTACCGCACCGTTAGGTCCGCATGAATACGTGTACCACGTTTCATCGAGTTAAAACCATTAGTTTGAGAGATATTCCTTGATCATTGAATTTGGAAATTGGTCGTGAGAACGGCCGCGAGTCCAGCCGTTAATTTGTCGGAGACGTAAACCCAGGAGAGGTTAAAAAATATAACTCAGTACTCACTGCAGTGAGTGACAGAGAGCGCATTTTCTCGTCGACGAAAACGTGAAGTCACGGACAGACAAACAGACGGACGGACATGGCGAGCACAATAATGTATTTTTTCCATAAATGAGAAAATGCGCTAATAACAGATTTGGGTGAAAAAACCATCGCTGGGAGTCTAGTGCTNGCACAATAATGTATTTTTTCCATAAATGAGAAAATGCGCTAATAACAGATTTGGGTGAAAAAACCATCGCTGGGAGTCATGTGCTGCACGTGTTGTGTACAAATCTTCAAACACACGTTCGAACATCTGACTGCGACTTCGGACTGTCGCCCCCCTATCGCCCCCCTATAACCCTCTTCTTCTTTACCGCCCCCCCAAATCTTTCCATCGCCCCTAGGGGGGCGATATCGCCCACTTTGGGAACCACTGACCTAGGCAAATAATCCGTGTTGTTATTATATCGTTATCGTCGTATTCAAGGACACTTTGACTATTTTTGCGGAATACAGTATTCAGGTAAAAAAAAAACGTGGGTCTTGAATTAAATAGCCAAGAGGTCTTGAATGTGAATTTTATTTCCATTGTCAAGTAAAGGGAACATGTTCCTATTTATCAGCCTCACTATTCATATTACGATCCTAATGTCAAAGTCATGTTAATTAATGCATGTGGCAGCATTCATGTGTGCGGAAGCGATAACAGGCCTTGCATTGTGACCGAAAGTTCCAGTACAACTAGCCAGGCAATTGCGCACCGTTGACGGTAATTTCGTATACGAGACAAAGCAAGTTCTGGTGCAGCAGCTGCTACACTAATTTGGCTACCATCAACAGGCGCTTGCCGTGCCGATGTGATCAAGACTGTTCCCTCTACGGCGATTGTTGTGTGGATGGCCATCAATCCTCACAAGTCACGCCGGCAAACGAAGACCGGCGTTCCAAGACCGTGTTTCCTGCGACGGTCTCAATGGAGAATCTTTCTTGTCGGAGTCTCTTCCCAGACGATGCTTATTTCCCGATGAAGGTAAGTCATCCCGACCATCATTCACAATAATGTTGACATATAAAAGTTTCAATTAGCCACAGCTTCTCTATTAAAGTATCTATTCTGCTGAGAGATTCTATTTGAAATATTGGGAAGACATTGCGGAAGACATTGCGCGAATTGGTCCATTACGATTTTATATCATTTTAAAAACTCGACCCAACATTTATTAGAAGGAGCTTGTTGAAATTTTGCTTTCGTCCATTTTCTTGCGCCGTCCGTGCCATAATTTATTTCGAATTTCAGATGATTTACATGGTGGACAAATGTCCGTCGATGGACACTAGCAGAATCGCTAGGCATTGCGAGAAAGACGTGTCTGCATCAGAGTACCGATACCTCTCCGACGTTCCGGTGGTGTCTGCCAGAACTAGGGTTGTTTACGCTAATTGGTTCTGCGCTCAGTGCCACGGCGAAATGGAAGTGAACAAATACAACAGAAGTCTCCTGTGCAACTGCAATCTTGAATCGAAGCGTGAACTGCGGAGCATGACGTACCTTCCCGGAGAATTGGCTTGGACCTCCAACAGGACGGCGAGCGACAAGTGCCTTCCTGGAGCGAAATCCAAGGCTTGTGTTCTCGCAATCTCATATCCAGTCGGGGTTGGTCGATCGTGTGAGAAGCAAGTAGTAGATTCTTGTAAAGACGGCTGGCCCGTTGCGGCAGATCGCGAATTCTGTGCTTCATATAGATACTTTGTTCAAGATGCTCTCTTCACCAAAGTGTACAAGAATCCTACGTGTGCCAAGTGCAATGGCGTTGCCAAAGAAGCAATTCAGTGCCTGCAGCCAAGTGTCTACTCGCGCTTTGGGGATACACGTGGACTGGATGTTTTCCTCCTGTCAGATTTGTTCTCTATAAACGAACCTTGTAAGTCGGAGGACGTTTATGACTTTATTTTCGAAGAATGTTTGGAAGAAAAATCCACAAACATGGCTCTAGCATACTCAGCCAACATTATATTCTTGGTATTGTTATCTATATCGCTCATTGCTCTTGTATTACACATGGTCATTTTCTTCATTTTGTGGAAGCAAAGGAATCTACATACCAAAAATCTTTTCTCTATGGCCTGCTCGTTGTTTTGGGCTGAATTGTTACTTGTGATTTGTCCGGCCGCCTGCCACGACAAGATTGGATGTTACGTCAGCACTATCATTGTCTACCTTTGTTTTTTATCGGCATTTTTCTGGATGAACGTGATGAGTTTCGACGTTTGCAAGACATTCAGAACGACCCAGATCCGCAGCAACTCGCACCGCCTCTACATTAAGTACGCCACGTATGCGTTCGGGGCACCTGTGGTTTTGGCCTCCATTGCCATCTTGGTAAACGAGATCGCTCCTGAGTCCGCAATGGCACCGGGATTCGGCGTCAACGGTTTTTGGTTCTCAAACCAGGGAGGTTTAAGGTTATTCTTTTGTGGGCCTGCGCTTCTCATTTTCGTTGCTAATATTGTTATGCTTAGTGTCTCAATCTACGATATTTTCAATCATCATAAAGCTTCTCGCTTTGCTGCTATGAAAAAGGACAAAAAAGATAAGCTGAAAAAGACTGGAACCGACGCAAATGTAGATGAAAATACCATGTTGAATCAAAGCAAATCTATGAACGATGCGTCAACACTGAATCAAATTCAAGTCAAAATAAAAGACGGATTAGACAAGATAAAAATAGAAAAGGATCGATTGATTCTGTATTTGAAATTAGCTCTGATCATGGGAGCTCCTTGGATTTTTGCCTTTTTCCAGGAAGTTTCACTCTTTTGTAAATACGCGTTCAATATCCTCAACAGTCTTCAGGGACTCTTCATTTTCATAGCTTTCGATTGCAAGCCGAAGCTTATCAAAGAAGTGTGTGAGAAACTCGGTTGGCACGCCATTTCCGACAGTCTCTTCACAACATCGTCTGCGACCAACGAAACATCATTGAGTGACAAAAAGGAAACTTCTGCTTTAATGAAAAGTGGTAGAATTGATCCCAACACTCCGGAAAAATCATCAGAATATTAAAAAATATAGCAATCTCAAGAATCATCTGTAAATGTGGCTTGCGCTTTGATGGTAAGCGAGAGAATTCTCCTAGATCCCAAATTGGCCGACGCTATGGAATAATTCCTACCGCGTATGTCCGCCTCACTATATCACATAATTTTTTACACTGTACCGACCAAACGTGCGTGGAAAAGACATGCACAATGGCACATTGCACAGACCTCAGCGTATCACTGTACCCAGGAACTCTTTACTCGAGAAGGATTACAGTCCCAAAGAACCCGATACTCGAGAAGGATTACAGTCCCAAAGAACCCGATACTCGAGAAGGATTACAGTCCCATGGAACTCGAAACTCGAGAAGGATTTCAGTACCATTAACCTGATACTCGAGAAGGATTTCAAGATCAGAAGTGTTATCATTTGTTGTTCAGGGTTTCGTTGTAAAAGTGCTGTTGTCGATCAATCACCGAAAACTTTATGTTATTAAAAGCGTAGAATTAAATGAAATATATTGAGTACAATATATTAAATGAAATATATTAAATAGTAGCATTTATGATCATATTAAATTGTAAAAGATATTGCTGCAGATCTGGGAGACAAAGTGAGCAAGACGGGCGCATTGGTGAGCTACGATCAACTCCTATACAACAATAAAGGCTAAGCCTGAATCTATCTTCTAATATAATAACTAATGTACTTTTTTCTGTGTATTGATTAAATGCTGGAAATAAATATGAACTTGTAAAAATCAATAAATGACATAAATTATAAAAGGATATTTTGCGATTTCCTTTAATATCTATATAATTTACCAAAAAATATTGTCAATATCTCTATGAATCTATTGAAAGCAAAGGCTCTGGAATCGTGCAAGCATCGTGCTCTGGATCACGATTAGCATCAAGATGAGTGGATATGAAGCAATGTTTATAATGAACATAATAGCAGTTTCAGTTTTTATTAGGCCGGAGGCCTGTCGGTCGCCGATTGTTAACATCGCAGAACATTCACAGCTTGTTGCGGTCTCGAACTCGCAACTCACTGCTACAATTCTGCTGTGCTTAACCGCCCGGCTTCCTCGCCGATTCCGGCCAGAAACTGGCGCACAGAGCTGGGATCGAACCCGCACTTCTCTGCTCCAATCCTGGTACTATGAACTTCAACCACTGAGCAAACTTGAACATGTGTATAATAAAAATGAAAGGGGATAATGAAAATGATCAGCATGATCATGCGAATCATTTGCTATATGTACTACATTATTGATGATGACGACTCGGGACCAGCGGACTCCTGTTGTACTGTAGATCGCACGGATGCTTCTGTATAAAATGCAGCTCGGGAAAAACTTTTCTCCGCTTTCAGCTAACGGAAGTGTAAGCGTCATGACAATTGTGAGCGTAATGATAAGGGGAAGTACTATAGCGCGTCTTTCATTTGTCGAAACCAAAAAGTTATGAATGCTATGTTTGCCTCTAATAATAGGCCAAGACAGGGGGAAAACAGAGGATTCCTCTGTCGAAAACAAAAAAGTTGCATCTTACAATAGGTCAGGGAAGTGATATTAGATCTTTTTGTGTGTCACCGACAAGTTATTACAAATTTAATTCCAGAAGAAGTTGCTCCAGCCAGCGTGTCAGCCCACAGCAATGGCAAAATGCCATTGGTATAGGCCTGAGAATTACACCAGTTGGTCTGAGAATTACACCAGTTGGCCTGAGAATTACACCAGTTGGCCTGAGAATTACACCAGTTGGTCTGAGAATTACTCCAGTTGGTCTGAGGACCGCATCAGACCGCTGCTGCACTAGGACCGCACTGCTGCACTAGGACCACACTACTGCATGAGGACCACACTACTGCATGAGGACCACACTGCTGCATGAGGACCACACTACTGCATGAGGACCACACTGCTGCATGAGGACCACACTACTGCATGAGGACCACACTACTGCATGAGGACCACACTGCTGCATGGGGACCGCACTGCTGCACTAGGACCACACTACTGCATGAGGACCACACTGCTGCATGAGGACCACACTGCTGCATGAGGACCACACTCCGATTCTTAACATCGCAGAACATTAACAGCATTTTGCGGTCTTGAACTCGCAACTCACTGCTACAATTCTGCTGGTCTTAACCGCCCGGCCTCCTCGCTGATTCTGACCAGAAACTGGCGCAGAGAGCTGGGATCGAACCCGCGCCTCTCTGCGCCAATCTTGGTGCTCTGAACTGTAACCATAGTTCACTTGATGACTCATTGGCCTTTAGATCTGGTATTTTATGGGAACTCTGCCGCTTTCTCATTGAAAGAATCGACCTGACGAATCAAATAAAGGAACCCAGAAGGCTGAGTCGTTAATTACATTCTCCTCGTGTTCTGCTTAATAGGATGATGACATGGAATTGATAATATATTTATTATTGTATTTTCTGTTGTATACCAGCAGTTTAGCAAGGTGTTGCTCAGGCTTGATAATTATAATTCCAGAAATTTTGATATCCTGTTATCAAAAATCCAATCTTTCCCGTCATCCCTAATCCCGTTAATAATAATTCAAACTTATTTATTCTTATGATATAGAGTCAACCTCAAAACCAAATTTTACAGAGGAAAGAAGACTCAAATTTAAATTCTTCATCCGATATTTCATGCAATCCTATACTATTCTCCCACTAGGCGTAATATAAGTATAAGTCCTGGCGTAATATCTATATCTTGTTATAGGTATAGTGATTACGCGCTCCATGTTGTGGTCTCAGGCTTAAAACAATCACTAACTCTGGCAAAAATATATAAGATGGAGGTGCTAATAAAAGTTAAGTACAATTTTTTAGAAACAGTTTGTATGAAGATGGAACGCTGATCAGTTTTGAGTCTCGTCTCAAAGTGATATAAACAACTTTAAACATTGGAGCAAGTTTCTCAATAGAATAATTCATGGTTGACATTTAACCTTAATTCAACTATAATGGAATATAATTGCACGTAGATTACTATGATAATAGTATATAGAAAATAATAAGTAAGAACAATTATTAATAAGCAGCTTCTCGTGGGATGAAAAACTCTCTCCACTGCCATCTAAGTGAACAGTTGAATACATACATCGCATGTCCCGGATAGTTCCTATTCATACATCGCTTGTCCTGAACATTTCATATTCATACATCGCATGTCCCGAACAATTCATATACGACGAACAACTTTAGTCCTTCAGTCCAAACAAACCCTTCCTATTCCAACGAAAACGCTCGAGGCTGTCGACGCCGTATAGTTCATCGTCAATCGCCATCACCGCTCACACTCGTACTTGGCAAACGTCCTTATCTCACTTCAGCTTAATATTTTTACTTATGCAACTAAACATGACACAATTATAGTGCATGTAAAAATTCCCATTTGGCAGCAGCCAAAAAGGATGGATTAGTTCGTATCAATAAGTACCTATTATGTGTGCTTAAAAACTAGTATCTAAAAAATTTAGCCTCGTTTGCTTATCGCACTTAGTCCTATAAATGAAGCGTGCAAGTGCTTGTATGGACTTATGTTGCTCCCTTGGACTGCTATGTTGCAAAGGACTGCTCCCTTGATGTAATGGTGCCACTGCTGTTGTGCACATGTAACTGCACAAACAGCAACACGTTTAACATGCACCTGCCATGTCTGAGCAGGCGACAATGCAGGTTCTGGGAGCTAACCGTACGGACTTGAACATGATCACGAAAATGTACACGCTGCTATATACCCATGATCTCAATATACAGTTTGCCCGGACAGTGGAGTTTTCTTATTCATTCCACGATAGATCACTAATTTTACTTCATTTACATATAAATTGGTAAAATTTAAATTTAAGTATGAAGTTGAAAGAAGTTTCACTCTAAAACATGTTAGTTTTGAGTATTTCTTACAGAGGTAAGAAAATTGTTAATGTGAATTCTCTTATCTTCAGAAGCACATTTGTCAAATAAATTAAAAAAAACTCCAGAAGACCAAAACCATAAATAAAATCCACACAAAATGTGGACTTTCTTTTATTTTATATTTTATATATAAAATCAACAATAAATGTAATAAAAATCCAAAAGAACAGAAGCACATCCAATTGAAACGGTGTTACATTTCCGCAAGTAGCATTATTTCATTCTGTTGGTTAACAGCTAATGTGGAATGCAGCACAGAGCGCGCTGCTGCAGCGTGTGCCACGAATTATCTCTAGAGGATATATTTGCACTGAACTTTAAAGTCCTAAATATACAGAGGCGATGCGATGCCCCAGCGTAGCCTAGGAGTGCCACATCCGAAACATATTATAAGGATACCAAGGATTGTATCATGGCGAAATAAACGAATGGTACTGCAGTTGACGTTGGTCAGCATTGTTTATCAATTGCTGATTTTTCCTGCAATTGTCAGTAAAAATTGGGTTGCTTATTCGCATTCAGTTGGCTAATGTTCAACTATTCATCATTAAGAATTCTAGAAGACAGAGTGCAAGAATAATATCTGCGTCTCCAATCTTACAAATTCTTTTTTCTATCTAATCTCTATTCGTTGGACAACAGGCGGTTGCCAGGCTTTAATTGGCTATTGGCAAGCCTTCTATTTGTTTGTATCTGTCATTAGATAGGCCCTTCAGGCGCTGCTAAGCTGGAGGTCTTAATTTATTGTAAACTTTAACAATTTTTGAATGATTGAACCAGCCATTTAATTATCGGTTGGCGCGAACATGCTGTACAGTTTTTGGACTCAATTGCTAAATTGTACTGTACGGTCACACAATTATTTTCATTTATATTTTATAGAGGAATTTTTATTTTCCTTTTCCAAGTAAAGTTTGTTGTCTCTGTGAACAAGATGAAACAAAAATAAAATGTTTTCGTACACAAGATGAATATTATTTAACGAATATGTATATGGGCGTCAGATAAAGATCCGTATACTCGTACAAATAGGCAATGGAATACAATAATACATTTTCATGTCACTGAAGAAGATTTTAGCTAAATTTGCACAATTACCTCATAACTGTAACATTTACCACATAATTTATGTTGCGAGTCATTCAAGACAGCGAACGATGTTAATCTGTTTATTGATATGGAAGCATACAAATTTGAGGTCAAATTATCAGAGATTAGGACTTCTATTTCTTGATTTTAACTTCTGAACAGTCACTAATACACTAATATATTCTTTAATCTACTGCCAACTTTACGGAGATGATAGATTAGTTAACGAAAATCCGCCAAATGACTCAAAGTCCTATTATAAGTAATGAGAGCGGCATAATCCTAATAGCCCCCTCATTCTTCAAAATTTCGTATGACTGAAGGCTGCTTTTAAAATATAAATATGCTGTTTAATCATAACCTGCTCATTGAATTCTAGATATTAGGTTGCAGGAACGGAATGCATTCCCATAGCATATTTACGTAGCTTGATCATTCGGCAACACTCGTGACCGCCATTTTTTTCAGATCGATCGTTGAACTGAGCCGGGTTGGTGATGCGACGCACCGCCGCCATTTTGTATTTCTTATTAAGTGACTTTTCTTCTTAGTGTTTCAATTATTAATCGTGAGATTTCATAAAATGGAGCCTCCTAAACAGCAAAAGCAAACAGACATGTTGAAAAAAGATGTTACTAGTCCTGGCAAACCTAGCGAAAATGGCGAGGCTATGGGTGGCTTCCGTGGACGCGGTGGTGGACGAGGTTTTGGTGGAGCCTTCCGTGGTGGCAGAGGAGGACCTCGAGGTGGTGGAGGTAGAGGTGCTGTCAATAATGTGGACGACAGACCACCATTTGAGGGAGGGCGAGGTGGAAGAGGAGGAAGCAGAGGTCGTGGCCGCGGCGGTGGAGGTGGTGGCGGCGGTGGTGGTGGAGGTGCCTTCTTTGATGGCAAAGGCTTCCAACAAATGGTGAGCAAACTCGGGGATGATCCTCTATAGTCTATATTATCAAATTTATCATAGCTATATATGACCTAGGCTAATATCATTTATGAATTGTATACCCCTCAGAAAGTAGAAATTTCAATATCAAATAGGCTAATCAAGGGAAAGGGATTAGGTAGGTACTAGTCTGGAAAAGTCATATTTTTGTCTGAAATATCGCGGCTCTAATATCATATAATTTCAGTAGGTATGAAATCTCGCGGTTTGCACTTCGCAAACATGTCATTTCATAAAATTTTCAACTTCCGCAATCCTGCTCGCCAAGTAGATATATTCCATACTAGGGTAGGTAGGTACCTATGTCATTAAATAATCTTACTCGAATTTCATTCTAAGTTCTAACAAATTTCATTATTTGAATCAGAAATTGATGACTGCCAATGACAATAATGATGTTGCACAGTTGCAGCAGTTGAGTTGCTAGCCTTCAATAGGAATGCAAAATGCAAATTTGTTAAAACTAAACTGAGGTTAAGGCTAGGGGTAAACCATAAACGTGGTACCTATATTCCGCCATCGTGTAATTCCAACACTTCTCAACTTTTTTGAGGCGAGTTTTTTTCCTTTATATTAAGCTTTGTCTTAGTTTCATGCATTCATTGATGGTTGAAATAGTGATGTCATACTATTGCGCGCCATAGAGGCCATACTATTGCCAAAACACTAGGTTTGGGCTAGTGTTTTGTTTGTGTAGAAAGAAAATTATGGTTTGAGACTTTTAAATACGTCTGTGAATATATTAGGAATCATTTAACTTAATTATACTTGTATTTGCTGATTTCAAGTGGTAAAAAAATTAATAGATGATTGTTAAGAGATGGTTTTAGACACATAAAAACTAATTCTGACACAGCTTGGAATTAGGCACACACAGCTTGTTCCAAGCTGTGTGCAAAAATTGAAATTTTCCTAATTAAAAGCTTAATAGCTCTTACTTAAAAGCCTAATTAAGTAGTGTTCAATATTCAATAGTGTTATAATTCTGAGCTGTGTTGTATTCCAATACAGCTCACACAGCAATCGGAATTTGAACACAAGAGGGTCGGAATTACGAATTAGTAGAGTTTAAAGTGCGGCTGGAATTAGGCTCACAAAATGCCAAATTTAGTCACACACAGTATTGGAATACATGGATTTGGTAGGTTTGCATTCTAAAGGCTTTTTAAATAAATATGGCCACAGTTTGTGATGTTTCATTGTTGCTGGTACATAGGGTAAACGCAGTATTTTCCGACATCGTAGGTAATTCTGTCACCTCTCCAGCTTTTCCTTTATATTAAGCTTTGTTTTAGTTCCATGTAAAGGCTTTTTAATAAATATGGCAACATTTTGTGACGTTTCATCGTTGCTGACGCGTAGTGAAGTGTTTTGAGAGTCATGTGAAGGCAACAGAACTTACGTAATGCATACGTTTTTTTTTATAGTTTTTCATTTCTCGATGCGTCCTTAATGTGTCGGAATATACCGCTTTTACCCTAGTGTGGTGTTTTGAGAGACATAAAGCAAACAGAACTTGAGTTGCGCCTACCATACGGTGATTTTTTTATAGCGATTCATTTTTTGCTACGTCCTTAATGTGTTGGAATATACCGCGTTTACCCTAGCTACTGAGCTTAGTGAGCTAGCTACAAGATGATGTCCACAGGACACAGTAGCAAATTTTTAAAATTCATTCATCTAGTGGCAGGGGAAATCTTGCAGCTACAAAAATGGAAAAAAAGGTGGAGCCAATTCTAGCCAACAGCTGGTCATCCTTTGGCCACCTGAAGGCTGAAAGCATATTTTAAAAGGAGGGAGTTCTTAGACTTCCTGAAGTTCATTTTTGAGTCCTAGAAAGCAGACCAGTAAAGTATCATGGATACCATACAGCATTATTATGTTATTCATGTAGTATAAGAAATTTTTTTGTATTGAGATTAGGAAATTAGAAACAAACTGATTCTAAAAATCTCTGGTTTGTCATTATGCCTAAAACTGCGTGTTTCCTCAAGAAAGGGGCAGGCTAAGCTACCATATTACAAAGACTACAAGCTCATGGGAAGCAACTAGCCCGTCTTAGTACCAATTAAATATTTCACACAAATGACACAATGGTTGTGAATACTTTGCTGTCAAACTTTTCCACACTTCAACTACCAGCTTATGCATGGGCAGGAGTAGGAAAGGTCCTGATAATGTTATCCACAATACATGAATGGTCTCCTTGGCTACTCATGAGATTTGGAGAGAGGGCAACTAAAAAGCTGTTCATTTGCACTGTTGGTCTGGGATTAAAATTGCTGGTTTGCCATTTTGAATTTTTGTAATCTACATGCAGTTTTTGCACAAGCCTACATAGAAAGTAGATATTTTTGACCTGTTTGAGTCCCTGACAGGATTAATGAGCAGCATCATGCATAGTGGAATTCTTGGAATGGTTCATTGCCATTCATATGTCACATCTATTCTAACCATTTACTTGGTCTAAATTCTCAGCTGAGTTATAAAGGCAAAGTCAAGTTTTAGGATTTTTCTGTCTAATGTGCCATATGTGTTATTTATTCATGGATAAAGTACTGTTCTAAATCCCACCCTGATAATTTTCTCTATGGGTTTGAGTTGAAAAATTTGAGTTTTTATTATTTCTATTTTTTGACCACAGGGTTGTAGCTAAATATGTTGCCTGTGATTCTTAATTGGAACAAAATTTCTAGACTTTTCCATTGTTCCACAGGAGCTTCTCAAATTTGAGGACTTATGAAGCTCTGTAAAAAACATTTTTACCATTACCAAAATGATTTTTTTTGCATGCTGAGACTACAGGCAATGATTTCACTTGATATACTAAGCCAGAGGCCTCCAAACATTTTTTACCAAGGGTCAAGAGCAAGCTTTCTGAAACCTTTGTGGGCCAGTCATGCCCATTTACTGTTATCACTTCATGCATAACCAGAAATAAGTGCCGCACTCGATTTTTATACATATTACGTTGAACTACGAGATGTCCTATGGGTCAGATAGAACCTAGCCGCAGACCGGACCCAGCTCGTGGACCATAGTTTGGGGAGACATCTGAACTAAGACATAAATTTTTCCAAGTATTTAAAATTGATTGAACTTTATATAGTCAGTTTTTTAATACTTTCTAAATATGGATCTTATCAAAATTATTTGTGACAAAAATGTGAGCCCAGGTCCAATTAGATTAAAAACATGAATTTGAAGCACTAGGCCATGTGCTTGGTGAATTAAATGCATAAAACAGTAAAAGGTCAAAATATTTATCAACTTGTCAGTTGTCACTCAGTATGACTGATTCACAAATTTAAGATAGTTATAAGTGTCCATTTAGTGTGTGCAAAATTTAACATTGATGGGAGCAGTCATTTTGGATGTAGCAAGTTTTTGAAAAAAAAGCACCCTGTTTCAGAGTTGAAGTTGCTGTTGTAATTTGTGATCCAGTATTTATGCAAAATTGGAGATGCCAACCCAAAAACATCTCCTTAGAATTCAAGCAAGTAAGACTCTAATCTAAAGCATACCATCTGACTTGTAAACTGGTCAAAGCAGCTCACCAATCTACATACTTGTGATGTTGGTTATGGCATGACTTGCATAATACTTCACACAACCTAAAAGAACCATGCTTTGGGAGCCTGATATACCAACCAAACTCTTGGTACCTTCAGCAGTTTTCAATTCTGTCCAATTGCTAAATTATTGTTAGTGATTTTGGTCATGCTCGTGCCTCAATTTGACAGAATGTTCATTAAAAATAACTCAATTGGGCTATGCTTAGCTGAAATGCTTTAATAAGTTAGCACTTCTAAAGAGAGAAACAATATTCTTATAGTTGAATATCATGTTATTGTTGCAATCCAAAACATTTCTTTGATCTTTCAAATATTTTATTTCTGATATATTGTTAATGCCAATGAAAATCCTGCATAAGCAAAAAGGCAGAGAGGAAATGCCTATAGGTTTTAAATGATTGTGTGTAAGACACGCAGCATTTCTCCTCAATTACAACAAATGTTTTATTACGTTATTGATAGAATTTGATTATATCCTGAAAATGAGTTGCAATTTTTTTGCTCAAACAACTGGTGACCTGCCAGGCAAGAAAATTTAATTTACCAACTATATTTATTACATATATTGAAGTATAATCATGGGGGAGGGACTATGTTAAATAGCAGACACTCACAACAGATCCATTGATGATAAGCTTCATCAGCTGTTCACCATATAGCATTAAATATACCTATGTAAATTATGTCAGCTTTCAAAAAGAATTTTTGACCAAATTTGATCATTTTGCCATATCAAAATAAAGATGAAACTTTAAAATAAACATTTCAATGCCCAATTTATGCAGTTCAGCTCCAAGGCTGATTGGTAGTTTTTAGGACAGTTTGATGTTTACAGAAGAGGTTAGAGGTAGAAAAATATATCAGTACTCACTGCAGTGAGTGACAGAGAGCATATTTTCTTGTTGCCGAGTATCATGGATACTCAGCAACGTGAAGTCACAGACAGATGGATGGATGGACATGATGAGCACAATAGCGCCTTTTTTTCATAAATGAGAAAATGCGCTAAAAAGAGGTTAACATTATATATTTTGCGGGAAAACATAGAAACGTGCATTGTGCAGAATTCCTAATTTTTAAATTTAGCACAAGAAAATGTGATAAATTCCTAGATGTTTTTTCTTTATAGCATTTTTTTAATTTTGCATTTTGAAAGAGTAAATTGCAGAACTTTGGATAATTTGTTTAATATGGCCTGATAGCATGAAGTACTATAATAAAAATTTCATTAGACAAATTCAAAGAAAATCTATCCAACTTTAATTTTATTTAATTCTGTAAACTTGCTGTTGATTATTGAACAGATATTGCTACTTCCCTCATTAAGAAATGTAGAAAGAGCATCATTCATGCTTTCAAGAGTCAAAACTTTCATTGAAATGCTCATGTGTCAATTTTCTGAGATTGTTGTGGGTGATGGAATGGTTGATGTCATTTATGGAATGGTAGGCAGATGATTGTTGTTTAAGGGGACCGGCTACCCTAAAATTTTCAATTTTGTCGTTTTCCGGTTTTTATACTCATCTTAAAGCTGGAATTCTCCTCTTTCCAATGGTACCACTGCCATCTCTCTACGTGAATATTTACGTTCATGACGGCTCTTTAAACGGAGGCGGGTGGGAGAGTTCTTTAACTAATTACATATAAATTAATTAACTGCTGAAATCTTTGAATATAGTTTCTTCAGCTGCGCTTTGAATGGGGGGCGGGGGGGGGAATTCCTTAACAAATAGAACCTACGTAATTCAACAGTGAAGACTACATATGTTGCTGTATCTGGCAACTGACTTCAGTTACCCTCCTAACTTCGTACGGAGAGTTGCGCTACGAGTTGCTGCTGGCATCCTTGAGTGGACTAAGCAACAAGAAGCCTTTACTTTGGTATCCATGCTACATTGAGTGCCTATTTCGAGGCATGCGTGACTTTGTCGAGCTGTCCTGGAAAGTTCAACTTATTGAACTTACTGTCACGGAAAACCTATCTCCTCCTACAGTTTTCAAGCTACAGCAATGAGAGTTATATCATTCGATTTGTAAAGACTTTATCTATCGACGTGGCTATCGCTTTTTTTGAATTTGTGCATGGTTCGTCTTATATATGGGGGAGAAGGGGGGAGGGGGTGAAAATATGGGGAAAATGAAAAATGCGTTGGCCACGTCGATAGATATGGTCTTTACGAATCGAATGATATGTGTCTGGATGTTGTAGGACGATATTTGTAGGAGGAGATCGATTTTCTGTAGTACCCCTTTTTAGCCGTTTTCTATGAATTTCATGTTTTCTATCAATTTTTCGAAAATTCATACGAACAAAATGTTATTTTTTTTACATTTTACGTATGTATGTGAAGTTTCATGATGATCGGATGATAACTGTAGGAGTTTTCTGGGGGGGTAGCCGGTCCCCTTAACAGAGGTGTTATATAAAGCTTAGCCTTGCACACAAAACTAGAAGCAGGGTGGGCTTTTCAGATTGAGCTTCCAAGTGACGATATGTGGTAACTTGTCCACATATTGTCTCCTGTAATACTATTTACCACTAGAGAAATATGCATCTGTATTAAGCAGTTCTATGTGTCTTTTATTATATATAAGTAATGCCAATATACTAACCGCTTCAATTAGCTCCAAAATTATTTTTTTTAAATTAATCTACAACAAAAAATTGCTACTGTCCTGGGAATTGTGCTCCAGAGTTTAAAGTTTTGTTTTGTTTTTCAGGACCGCATCAGTGAGAGGCTGAAGCAGATGGCTGGTCCCCAGGTAGACTTGCCCCCTCGGGAAGACACAATCAGGAAGTTCTCTAATCACTGCCGGCTCTGGATCGGCAACCTCCCTCTTGATATCACTGAAGATGATGTCCGGGAACTCTTCAAACCTTACGGAGAATTTGACGAAGTTTATTTTGATAAAAACAAAGGCTTTGCTTTTGTGCGCATGGTTGGTACTTTTTTTCTACTTTTATCAATTAATTTGTGTTCACTGTGAAATTTAAATGCACAGTTCCTACTTTTTTCACGTTTTTATGTGTTGAGTAAACAAGAAAGTGATGGTACATGGAAACTGCAGCAGTGGCTGGCACTATTTTGAAATGCCATCCTACAGTCTCCATGTATAAGTGCAAGTGCCTCCATTGTTTGTGTATGGTGTACAAAGCAAAAGACTAATGCCCATAAAAATTGCTTCCAAAAAGCATGCTTCTTGATTGAAAGCTCTTTCTATTGTCCTGGTGTGAGATGAAACATTGATAACTGTGTTTACTGTGCAGGATTTCAAAAGTAATGCTGAGAAGGCCCGTCAAGAATTGCATCTCAAAGAGTATAAGAATCGACAGCTCAAAATTCGGTTCTCGTCCCCAGGAACTGCCCTCAAAGTTCGAAATCTTTCCACTTGGGTCACCAATGAGCTTTTTGAAAAGTCATTTTCTGTGAGTTTATTTTCATTTGTAATTTTTTTGTCCCGGTTGCATCATTTCATCTATTTTTGTCACTGAAATTTTGTGTAATGAATATTATGGACAAATTTGCCTGGAGGATTCTATAAATTCTTTAACACTCGCTTGCATTCCTCTCGAGTTTTGCTTTCCACATGTCACTAGGATTGGGCCAATTAGTTAATTAGTTATCTTACTGCACAGTAATTACTGACTGTCATAATACCTGCTTGCTGGCGTGCAGGTGTTTGGTGAGCTGGAGAAGGCGATCGTGATCACAGACGAGCGTGGCAGGTCTACTGGTGAAGGCATCCTGGAGTTCTGCAAGAAGCCTTGTGCTCAGCTCGCCCTCAAGCGATGCACAGAAGGCTGCTTCTTCCTAACCAGGTCTCTACCTCTCTGCTTAAATTGTTTATTAGCGCGCAGGGAGCATTATTTGCAATTATAATAATTATCTCGTTATATTTTAACCTTTGGTAAAGGAAACTTATACATTCCCAGGTGATGATTCATGCCAGTCATTTCCAATGTAGAATCCACTAATATCACAGTGCTCTAAGTACATATTTGGTTCAACTTAAGATGCATTAATTTTCAACTCCTCCTTGTAAGGAAAGAAATCATTTTAAGCTCCATTTAAATTTTTTACTCTTTTAAATCAACACTTGTCAACATGTACGGATCAAAATTAACTGTACAATTCATGTAACAATTGTGTCAGTAGTACATTTCACATTCATTTGATGCAATCAAGGTTTTTATTTATAATGAAGATAGAGCAACCACAATCTAGTTTCTAGTCATTCAGTGAGCTATTTTTCTTGACTGATCAATGTTGCTCAAAGGTGTTTTTATGCTGTTGAAATGTTATTGTACACTGTTAGAAAAATTACCGTTAACGGTATTACCGGCGTTTCAGTGGCCGGTCGGCACGTGCAAAGAAAAACCGTGTCGCCGTTTTTATTCCAATTTAACACCAGAAATCGTAAAAATCTGATAAAAACGGCGAAACAGTTTATTTTCACGGGGCGACCGGCCACTAGGATGCCGGTGGGACCGTTTTTTCTAAGTGTATTGGGAGTGCTGATTGCCTTTAGGTATTGAAGTTGTAATGTACAGTTACAGGTATCTGTCTCTACCTTCACTAATCAATCCTAACTAATGGTTGGCTTTATTTACTCGTAATTATCATTGATGCTTGTCTTAAACATTGTTTTTTATCAATTCAACGTCTAGCTAGTGACTGTAGCAACCGATTTCCTTTCCAGTTACTGACTAGCAACTGATTTCCTTTCCAGTTACTGACTGTAGCAACTGATTTCGTTTGCAGTTACTGACTGTAGCAACTGATTTCCTTTCCAGTTACTGACTAGCAACTGGTTTCCTTCACAGTTACTGACTGTAGCAACTGATTTCCTTTCCAGGTACTGACTGTAGCAACTGATTTATTTTCCAGTTACTGACTGTAGCAACTGATTTCCTTTCCAGTTACTGACTATAGCAACTGATTTACTTTCCTGTTACTGACTGTAGTAACTGATATCCTTTCCAGTTACTGACTAGCAACTGATTTCCTTCCTGTTACTGACTGTAGCAACTGATTTCCTTCCCAGTTACTGACTGTAGCAGCTGATTTCCTTCCCAGTTACTGACTGTAGCAACGTATTTGCTTTCCAGTTACTGATTGTAACAACTGATTTTCTCCCCAGTTACTAACTGTAGCAACTGATTTCTTTCCCAGTTACTGATGGTAGTCAATAATTTCCTCTGCAGTTACTGCCGACAGTGCCTATCCCTGCATCACATTAAACTGTTGCCGTGTTTTTCACAGCTCTCCACGCCCCGTGATCGTGGAGGCGATGTCCGCCGTGGACGACAACGAAGGCATGGCTGAGATCAACGTCAACAAGCGCAACCCTGAGTACATGAAGGAGAGGCAGAGCGGGCCCAGATTTGCTGCACATGGCTCCTTTGAATTCGAGTGAGTTGATTGTTCACAATCTAAGTGCCGTGGCTTATTCATAACCCTTATTTATTGAATGCTAAGATTTTTACATAAGTTCAAGCAAATTTGAATAAATTACATTCCTTATCTAGTCCCTTTTTTAAGAAGACATTTTGCTTCCCAGGGGTAGTTTCTACATTATTTAATTCCGGCAACTCAACAGTGCGAAGTTCCTGCACGATCTATTTGTGATTTTATCGCTTATTAGCCTTGGAGACAGAATGTCCTTGGAGGCATTTTTTGCACCAATTGTGTTAATTGCTTGTGCGATGTATTGATGTGCGTCCTACCTTTCATTGCGTCCGCTATTTGAAGTAAATTCTCATAAACTCTTGTGTTGGAGCACAGGACGTGCATGGCATGCTATTTCTCTTCAAAATTGACGGTTATATACATGCTTTGTTGCTCACAAGTGACCAATTATTGCGCAGGTACGGACTGAAATGGAAGCAGCTCTACGAGTTATTCGACAAGAAGAAGGAGATGCTTGAGAAGGAACTTAACGACGAGAAACAGAAACTCGAAGAACAAATTGAGTACGCCAAATACCAGCACGAAACTGAACTGCTCAGAGAAAGTGAGTAATTTCTTCCTATTATTGAGTACTACGTTAAATAGCACGAAACTGAACTGCTCAGAGAAAGTGAGTAATTTCTTCCTATTATTGCTCAGAGCCAAGCACGTTTCTCGGCTCCGCTCATGAACATTTACGAATTAATTCCACTTTTTAGCGCTTTTATATTGCAAGCTGTAAAAATTTTAACAGGAGCTGAAACAAGCAGGCATTAAATAGATATTGCAATTGAATTTATATAATTTTTTAATGTTGATATTGAAATTACCTTCCTTCCTTAGTTTATGCTTGTTCTTCAATATAAATTATTTGAATTTCATCAAACTAAAAACTTCATTCAAATATTCATGTTCGCATCAATATGTTCAAAGCATAATGTTAATGGCTGAATGTAGCTGTGGAGGCGTTATAACCATCAGCTCTGCAGTAGGGTACAGAGTAGTATATAATGTGATGCTTTATAAACATCAGCTCTGCAGTACAATACTCACTCATGTAGGCACTGTAAATATCAGCTCTAGAATGTAAGGTGGTCAAAACAACGGCTGGTTATGTTATGCATCAGCAGATATGTCATGATACTCATGTTATGCATCAGCAGATATGTTCTAATAATACTGATGGTGCGCAGAGCTGCGGCAGCGAGAAGAGAACAACCAGGCGCACCAGCAGGAGTACGAGCAGCGGCAGCAGCAGTGGGAGGAGCACCGCCGTATTGAGGAGGAGCGGCAGGCTCGTATAGAGGAAGAGCTCGCAGTCAAATACCGCCAGCAGGAGGAGGAACTACGCCGTCGTCAGGAGGAGAACAGGCAGTTCATGCAGGTCAGATGAGGTCTTGACCTTAACCCTAACCCTCTTCCGCCTGACACGAGTAACCGGAGCAATATTGTCACAAGCCTACTTCCCAAAAAGGATACGTTCTAGTGAACGCAAAATGACTTGCACTGATGGTTGCCGCCACGTACGACAACTTTAAAATGTTTTCTGTTTTGCAGTTTGAATTTAGTTTACGTATAACTTAAATTTAAATTTACAGTTATGTTCCCGGAGAGTGACATACGGTGGTAGAGGATTAAAGCTTTTCTTGCTTAGAGTTCATTGACAAATTTTGGATTAATGGTATGAACGATTGAGTTCATTTGTTGTTGTTGTTGATGGTGAAAATTTGCTTGAACTGGCAAAAAAAGATGGTCAGTATAATCAAATTGTGCCCATTAAATGCTGGTCATTATTGCTGGCTATTTCAGATTATGTACCAAAATAGTATGTTGTGGTTAATATAAAATCTATATGAATGCGAAAACACAAATTATTTAATATATATTGAGTTATTTTAAATAAACTAACAAAAGCTCGGTCATAATGCTTTATAACTACAAATGATACAATGAACTCAACTGTGTTGTTTTGTTCTAAATAGAATAATAAGGATAATAATGAGCTTGTTGGCAGAAATGAGGCATAATAGATATGTGCTATTTTAAATGATATAATAATAAACAATAATAGCAATAGCGCGGTTACAATTCTTTATTACAAATGATACAATGTAGTCAACTGTTGTTTTGTTCTAAATAAGATAAGGATAATAATGAGCTTGTGTTGACAGGATAATAATGAGCTTGTGTTGACAGGAGCGAGGCATAATAAATATAGAGTTGTTTTAAAAAAATATAATAATAGCGCAGTTACGATGCTTTATTACAAATGATACAATGAAGTTAACTGTGTTGTTCTGTTCTAAATAAAATAATTCGGATAATTATGAGGTTGTGTTGACAGGAGCGAGGCAACACGCTGCTGAAGGAGGAGGGCGGAGAGGAGCTGTACGGCGACCACATGGCGGGGTGGCGTTGGGGTGAGTTATCTCATTTGCTGTATTTTTTTCATATAAACACAGCATATATTTTTTTTCATATAAATATATTTTTTTATATATATTTACTGTAGTTTTTCATATAAACACAGCATATAATATTTTTTCATATAAATATTTTTTTTCATATATATTTACTGTTTTTTATAAAGATAAACTTACATGTTCTTTGCTTGATACGCTTCTTTGATTATGCTGGTAATATATAATTTCGTTATTTTGTCTAGTTATTATACAAATTCTTCTGCTGCTATGTTTAAATTATATTATTAGCCATTTGCTTCAAAATAGTCCTATGCAATATCTTTTTGTTCGCTAAATTAGTGTCATCATTTGCTATGAGTGAGTTAGTCGTGTGATGAGTCCCTTCCTGTCTGTGTCAAGACTGCTATGTTGGGTCATTCTTTAAGCTGCTTCACTTTCCAATGCAGAAAAAAACTTTTAAGAATTACCAGCCATACAAATATAAGTAACAATACATACAGAGCGATGCCTTGCACAGTTAATTGGCTTGACATGAAACGAAACTCGAAATTTTCCTGCAAGCGGCTCTGACATTTCGGTGATGTCACTCCCCTATTAAATCACCATTCTATGTCACTCCTCTATTAAATCACCATTCTATGTCACTCCTCTGTTTAATCACCATTTGTATAATTCTAGTTTCGGTGATTGCCATGTAAATTAAAGTATTTTGGGGAAAACTGGCAGAGTGACCGAGTCTAGCGCACTCGACTGTTAGGAGTAGGCAGCCTTTGGAAATAATTCAATACTAAAACTTTTAGCGGGAGCAGAATCTGTGAATGAGTATGATGCCATGAATAACTGAATAAAATTAGTTCTGCGTGGCATCAGGAATGACATGATTTTCTTGATGCCACAGACCGCAGTGGCTTCCAGCGTGGAGACGACATGGCACCAGCAGCGGTGAGTACACGAACCCCTCACTACATTTCCCCCCACCCTGCTACACCANCATCTCTTTCTCCAACATCATGTTTCTATTACCGTAACTTACCACTTCTAACATTTATTTAGGGCCACATTTATTTCTCCTAACAAAACAGCTCAATGCAAAGTAATAGCCCCCTTTATAATTATTTTGTTCATTTACTCCATTGAGATTGCCTTATATATCCTATACGTTCATTCTATTGACTTCATGCACTGTGATCATCTCGTATCTCGCTTGATAAGAGAACGAACCAACGCCTCTGTTGTTGCCAACAATATTACGTGTCTCCGTCAATGATGATACTCTTATCAATACGTTGACTCGTGGCCATATGTGTAACTTGTGGCGAATGCTTCACAAAAATCGTCCGTTTCAAATTTCGTTGCATCACTCAAATGATTGCTCAAAACTAGCTCATTATCAGCTTTTAACACATCGAAAACTGCAAGTGATGCTTAAACTTTTCAATTGTTCCTTTATAATATAGGCAAATTTATTTATTTTTTGACAAAACAACGACTGAGAATGATGGTTATAAGTTTAATTTCGTCCTCCAGTGCAGAACCAACGAGACATTGGTGATGGTTGGTGCACACAGAGCGATGGTTCGGTCGCAACTTTGACTCTCTTGATCTGTTACAAGTTAAAGACGTGCCGCATAACAAACCTTGTCATGATTGCAATAAGTTCATTAGCGTTGAATGTTAATGGAAGACTAGATTGGCCGAACTCAGCTCCGAGTTTTTTTTTTATCTTGGAAGCTACGGCTTGTTTAACCCACGTTGGTCCATTTAACCTCGAGATGAGCTTGCTAAGTACGAGGTACTGGCAACGTGTATGGTGAAGATGAAACTGCGCGTTCTCGTTTCATGGCTGTTGAAAACATTGTTCTCGATACAAGTATATTGCATTTAACATCCTGGATGTTTTTGCTCTTCGTCACCAACGCTTCTGATTTTAATGAAGATTATTAGCTAGAGCTCGAAAGCTGCAGTGGTAGATTCTTTACACTCCCTGTGCGGTTGCCCGAGAGTGAACTAGGCGAAATAATTTAAATTGTTAATTTCTTTTGGTATGTGAAAAGTCACTTATACCAAATAATTCGTCCGTTGGCAAGAATGTCAGTTCACCGTAGGAAACTGATGTGTACCAGACATTATTTAAAATATTTTTTTGGGGAAATTACCTAGAGCCTGGTGGTCAGTAGTCTTCGGACATTCTAGATTACTTGTGCAAAGTTAACACGTTTGCTTCTGTATTCTGCAACCTTTTTGTTTGCCACATAAGGGCATATTAATTCTGTTTTTCCTCTAGTATGATTTTCGAAGTTAGTAAATATAACTTGGTCTCCAAGTCAGGAAAATACTTTGCCTTCCGTGTTGAGCTTCGGTCATTCGGCCCTCGTGCGTTGTGGACCAAAAGCTCACACCAAAAACTTGACCTTCTCACTGTTGCTCTCTTCCAAAAAAAAAAAAAAAAAAACTTCCTCGGCAATTTGTCGTAATCGCAGGCGTAAACATGACCGTGGCTGTGCCAGTCCTGCACTTACAAAGAATAAGAAACTTGAACTAAACGGAAATTATCGGGTGACGATCGAGCAACAACATCCGTGAACTCAAGCCATGAGACGGGAACGCTCAAGAGGGAGAGCTTTAAAAATTATTGTGGGTCCCTCAACCTGGTGAAAAACTTGCATACACAACGAGAAATAAAACCGCAAATTAATGCATTACCACCGTAATACTTTCCCGGAGTGTCGGATGAAAGTTCTCTTAGTCGTGCATCTATCCCAACTCGGTCCGGATTTCCAATTAAATTGTAGAAGTAAGCATATTAAGTCGAAAATACATGCAAGGAAAAAACTGGTTGGGAGGGTATGTGCAAGCAATTACTCGTACCACGAAATCATTTTGACGATAATTTGATTGTTGGGCGGACCCACGGAAAATGTTAGTTGCTCTCTCTCTTGGTCTAGGTTGGTGATTTAGATCTGTATTATACGTTTGGGTTTTAACGCTTGTATGCATGTTGACGAAGTGACCGGAACTTGGCACACAAATGCCGCTTGTCTTGGCCAAATCAAGTTCATTAAGACACGCAAAAATTCTGAATATTGAGCGTCGTGCTCACTAAGCAAGACAGACAAAGTGTATGTGGGGATGTACTCAGCGCTGAGTCGTTTGACTCACTACCATTATTTATATTGATAATATGACTTGCAGTTTCCATTAGCTGGAAATATTGTGATGTCATCTCAACTTTCTCTTTATATTCTACCCCCTCAGGGGGGACTTCTGACGGGTGTCTGTGCTCGTCAGAAGTCCTATGGGATTTCGCGCTCCTAGTGCCAGCTTCAGCGGGCTGGACATCTGAGACCTTCCGCCCCTTGTGGGTGATGAATAATTGAGACCTTCCACCTTTATGGTGATGTTCATCTTGACTTTCGGTGCGAGATAGCTTAATAGCTGAAGCGCTAGTAAACATTTGGACACTAAACTAAACTAACTTTATATTCTACTGTTGAACTTACAGCCACGGTAAGCAATGAAATGACCTCCACAGTGCCATGAAATGAGGTTTGAAGTCGCGTAGATTTTGATAACCTTGTCTTACGATCAGTATTGTTTGCCTGCTAGATCTCACATGCCTAAAACAATTGTTAAGAGTATCAATTAGCAGTACCTGGGCTCTAGGCATGTTACGCTACTGGTACAAAGCCATCAACTGCTTTGAGAATAACATCAATCGTGGCATTTTCAGTCGTTTTCAAAGGCTTCTGGAATAAAGTAGCGATGTACCTGTATCATGTTAGCTGATCTATGTCGTGTTGGGAAGATGTGCTGTGTGCCGTAGTTAGAACTGAATTCGGTTGAAGGCGCACTATTCGAAGAAAATAACTGATTTAATATTGATACCGAATGAATTTTCTTTTCTTGATTACTAAGAACTTTAAGAAATCAAACAACAATACTTTCAGAAGGCGAAACAGGTCCATTTTTTTGCTCTGGCTTCATTACTAACATTCATGTCGTCAGATATCGCCAATAATATAATCAGTGATGGCCTTCCGGGGCTGATAAATAACATGACTAACGTTATTCTCGAGTATGAAGGTGAACTTTTTTGCCACCAGCGTATTCGCTACAGATCCCTGGTACTATTAAGATACTCGCTCTGAATCTTTTCTTTTTGACACCTAATTTCTAACGCTGACTGAACAAATCCAAAGTTATTCAATGTCGCTCAGTCGAATTTTTTCAGTACGGCTTAAACTTGATTATAGTTTTGAATAAAAAAAAAAAACACTGGCGACGGCCATTAAAACTCACAAAAAACTAGATGGAAGGAAAGACGAGCGTTATGGCTGACATAAAAGCCATCGCTACTTATATGATTCTGTATCTTTAGGTATTATTTCTTGCCATACTCCACGAAATGGAGCACTAACTTGGAATTTTTTCCTCGTAGAAGCCTTCTTGAGATATGTTTCGTAAACGAGAAGCTTCATACTTTTATGCAAACTGGCCCATTAAAATAACGACTGAGAGACAGACCTTGACTTGACTGGTTAAGCACTTAAAATGAGACCATACTTATGGCCGTGCGGGTGCCCGATACCTGTGAGTACATAGCGCTTGTGGTGCTGCCTCAACAGCAGCCGCCCTACGGAGGACGCGGCCGTGGTGGTGGAGCAGCTGCTGCTGCAGGTCTTCCTTCTGGAGGCTTCGGTGCTGATGAGGAAGAGACGGCAAGAAGAGTTGGTGTTCCTCCAGCTGGAGACCTCTTCACTGGCAGGCTGGGAGGACGTTCTAGATGGGGATCTCGCCCTCTGCAGCCAGACATGGAAGAATATCTGCCGAACAAACGAGCCCGCTTCTAACGAGGATAACATACATACAAAACTCGTGGATCTTGTTCCTGACTGACCAGAAAATTCCCGTGACATGCAGGACTTTGTATATTCATTTTTGCGAAGTTCATGGAAACTTAATGAAAATATGAGTTTATGTTCACGGCGTTGTGTGTTCGTACCGATGGTTGCGTTGCTGCAGCTGCTTCTCGTGAAGCTTTAAAATAATGAGTAGCTGCTTCCATCCGTAATTGATACTTACGCCTGCCGATTTACTGCTAAATTCAATACAGTGCAAATGTGGGAAGTCACAAGTCTCTATCTTGCATCAAGTAGCTATTAGTTTCAACTTATGGTGAAGTGTTGAACGTCGTCGTATTAATGGCAAGCAGCTTGCTTTTATTGCAAATAAATATATTTTCGCGTTCGTATATTTGGCAACAAATGGCTACTACCTCCTAGCATGCACTCAAAACTTTCAGTATAATACTTGATTGAGAAACGTTTGTCGAAACACTAGAATTGTATCATCACTCTTTTGACCTAAACAATAATATGCTATTTTTGGATCCAAGTTGAATGCGGTAAAACAATAAAATATTATTAGATTCTTCATGAAATAATGTAATTTTCGACTCGCCTACGCCTAGCAAAATGTAGCTTCATCTTAATTTTGACTGGCGGTAGTTTCAGCTAAATATTGTACATTGTTTTCTTTGACAGCCATACCTGAGCCATCGGCTTCCCTTCGTTGAGTGACAACTGTTTCTTGTGGTTATTTGGTTACGTATTTTGTCGCTAAGGATATGCACACAAAATTGTTTATGATTTCAACACATAGAAGAAAGATGAGGCTCCCTAAGGTATTAAGTGTAACCGCTCTAAGAAACCTATTGATGTATTTTCTTATGATAGCTCTAGTAAAGACTAATAAAGTCACGTATCTCTTGTCATTACATCTCTAAGCTGTGCTTATGAAGGCACATTGAGCCAGAATGAGTTGTACTTTCCCATTACTGTATTAGCAGGCCGGGCCATTGCGATCACAACTTGCTCAACTGCGGTGAATTTCTGACAGTTGACTTCAATTACAGTTCTGCCTATTCTGAATTAGCGTCGTGACATTCATATGTTCTAAACTGAGTTATCACTTTCGAATACTAGCATGAAAGTAGTTTGAGTAGTGTGAGATTGCTAAGTATGAACTTTATATTGCTCAGTTGGGGCAATTCAAAAGCAAACCGCATTATCGAATATTTATAACAAATTCGTACAGTTTCTAATGAGAGCAAACGAGAAATCATGGTCCATGCATGCTAGCATCTGCAACTGGAAGCCTCAAGTACTTGGATGATTCTTTTGCATTTCTACTTGAAGACGTTCTTGAATAGTTGAATATTCATCATTTATTCATGTCCTAGAATTAAGCTACTTGATTCTAATGAAGAAAATCCTTGATATTAAATTTTAAAACCGAAAAGTTCATGAATTTTTCTGCCATTTGACATAAGTGTACTTAGATTTGTCTGTTTCCCTCTAGCTTCTCCAGGAACTGCCCAGCTTATTACCAGCAACACAGCGCATATTGAACTTACGTACTACTGCCACTTGCTTCATAATTCATTAATGTAACTCAGTCTGAGCTACTTGAATTATATGGAATCAAAAGCTCTTGTAACGAACATACAGACTAAAGGAAAGAAAACATTGCTTTCTACTCATATGTGCCTGTAACTTTAACACTGCGCGATAAATTCACAATGCGGTCAATGATATTAAATTTGTAATTAAGACCTTAATGTGTCTCTGGACTGCTACAGCACCTTTGTTTAGTGGAAGTCGTAAAAAATAATCCTACCGAAAAGTTGAGATTGTCGGTGTGAATTACTTATGACGTTGACGGTAATCTTTCTCGCGTGTCACGCAAGACTACATTCGTATTTGAAAGCATATCATTCTTCTATATGATATGAAAGCATATCCTTCTATCCTTATATGATGCTTCTTAGAGCTGCTTTTAGAATTCAAGTTGTCCGTTTCCTATCGTGGCATAGGAACTAATGAACTGAAAATGATTTGGTATAAACTTGGTTCATTCTTGGATAATAGTTTATCAATATGCATCAGCTGTTTGAATATTGATACGCACTTGTGAATGGCACGGCGTTCTTAGTGCTGTTCTACGCTTCCTGTGTTTGGTTGCTGTGACCTCAGACCATCATGAAACCTGCACGCTAGAAGCGTGCGTGTATAAAGTATTCAGCTAATCAACTTATCACGGAGCAAGGGAACCAAGTTGAAGGCAGTGAAACAGAAGGTCTAACTTTCCTTCCTGTACATCGAAAATATCATGGGAACGATCCACTCTACTGCTGCTGTCTTATTTCTTTCTCTTCGCCGGAAACAAGTCTACTTTTCTGTGAAATAATGCAAATTATATGCGTACAATAATTGAAATTATCTTACGATTACTTACAAAATAATATTGATTTTTATCGATACAGTTTCATATGCAGTTATTCCTAGAAGTCTTTTATTTTCTGATGGTTTTTCACGTCTGAGTATAAGTTTGGTAATTTCGATGCTAGCTCGCTCAAAAAGTTCAAAATATACTTTAATATCTTTGTTTTGCTTTACGTCGTGATTTGAAATACACTGAAACTTTTGCTTTGGCCCGAAAGCCTGAATGACATTCCTGAAGCATCTAGTTTTTATGTAGACATGAAAAGTTGATGACGAATAATGCTAATTACGTTTCATAGATTACACGATGCATATTTGAGATCATTACACGTTAAAGCCATTGCATGAATAAGTATTGTAGGCTGGATAAGTCATATTCCGAGCCCAAGTATTATCGAGTACTTAGCTTTCCAACTGTATGGCGACAAAGTTAGTCATTCTGTCGACTCCCTAGGCAGCATTACCGTTTTGTACATCTGCTTAACAATGGTGAGAGAATATACGTCTTGTTCAATGAAATTTGTACAGTCAATATTGGATCCAAGACACTATACTGAATAACGACTCTATGGAAGTCCAATATATACGTAACTATAAATCACTCCTCACATGAACTTACGATCATCGCAAGTCTTAAGATGATCGCATGTCCATGTTCTATGTTTGACATTAGACTATCAGTTCAAACACCTGATCAGCTGACTTAACTTTGAAAACAAGCAATTATTGCAAAGTCTCCTGTCCGGTTACATTGGAATTGAATGGTAGCTTTGGCATGCTTGCAGTGTTGGATCAAACATCACAGTTGTTTAAATAAACAATAATCTTTATTTCGGATTTCGTATTAAATTCACTTCATAGTACTCGTAAAAAATAGGTTAACTATTTTGACCTGGTTTTTAATTTTGAATGGTGTTGGTTAGTGTAGTTCCATCATGAATGAATCCTTTACTGTTGTTGATGTAGCTTATTAACGCGAGAAATTTCCTCCCGAACTCCTCATTTATCGCAGGCAGTAACCATAATTGTTTGGGCCAGTCTAGTCGAATTTCAGGTCAGTTGACCAGGGCATTCAGGTAAGCTTTCTTGTTCATTTGCTTTTGCTGAAAATACGCTTCGTCTTTGACACAGAACCTTGCATTTTTCTTTGACAATCTAAAAACACGTTTTTATATTTGACTTTAATGTTCGGGACTTTAAACTTGGCGGTGCACATTCGACCTTAATTATATAGCATGGATTCTGCAATTCGTTCCGAAAGCTTATGTTCTTTAATGAATCACGCATTGAGAGGACATCCAATATGAAAGGCACGGAATTGAACTTTTTAAAGTGAAAGCGATTCTCAAATTCTTATGAAACTCGTATCTAAAAATGACTACCAAATCTTCTATTATTAATTGTGCATCTTGTGATCGAATTTCATAGGGACATTCAAATTCTATCTCTCTTGACTAATATTAAAGCCTGGGTTCTAATTTGGTGACTTGGTACTGTAAACCCTTTCTAATCGTCACTTCTACCCTTTATTCAAATAATTTCTCTTGTGATTAGTGGTAATCAAATGTGTTTAAGTGGTTGCGGTAGTGACGACAGAACAGTTCGTATTAATAACAACAATTTTGAGTAGATTTTCTCGAACACTTATAAAAATTTTATGTGCCAGTCGTAAATTCATGAATTAAGCCTCGAACTCCCACAACACCGTGAAAGTTCTTTAACCCGAGACCCGGCTCAGGTTAGTAAATATATTGTCTTCAGATTTGACGAGACCTCGAGTCGCCTTGTACAATGGGAAACATTGAGGTGAGTAATGTTCATGCCACCAAAGTTTTATTCTTGAGTAGAAACTTCAGCGAATTTCAAAAGCCTGTGTACATTTCGTCGAAAAAAGTCTGTATACTTTTTAAGCCTCAGTTTCGACGCATAATGATGCTGTCAAGACGACTCAAAATTTGATTTGATATAAAAATTTTTCAAAATTTCAGGTCCAATTATTTTTTAGTCAATAGGAAGCTCTTCCTTGTATTTAATGCTATCAAATAGTTGCAAAAATTTGTCTATAAACCAAGTTACTCATAAATTTGTGTCTGAAGACATCTGATATAAGGGAATGATTGTTAGAGACATTAAGTTAGTTACAAAAAAAAAAATGTCTCCAAAGGCATCGCGGTGGCAGAAATTAATATGCAAAGTCATCAAAATTGTGTACAAATGCATCGCAGTTGCAGAAATTTCTGTCTGAAGGAATCAGAGATTCTCACAGTTCTTTTTTCTGAATGAACTCAGCTGGTATCATGCTTTTTTGCTAGCTGGTGCGGAAGCCCTACTGACTAAATTCTAATTTAAATTAAAAATTCAATTTCTCTGAGTTGTGAAAAAGCGTAACATTCGACGTTAGAAACGGAATTGTTAGCAGGTTTTTCTGTGGTTTCAGCCTCGAAGGTGGAAGTGGAGTTCGATTCATCAATTGAAAAAAAAACTCGATGGGGGCTCGCCAATGTCGTTCTTGATTTGTTGTCTACAATTAATCTTCCCTTGGTTTTGAAAATAACCTTCACATAGCTCAACCTGTGTTATTTTAACCGGGTTCCTTAATTGAAGTTTTCTTTAACTTAGACAAATAGCCTGGCAAGAACACCGCCAGTTTTGGAACCGCGGTTCTTAGTTCAACTCAAAAATACAATAATAAAAATGAAAAGTACTATTGCAGAAGGTTGCACTCGCAATGTTACAATCTAACAATATTTTTATGTAACAACATTTTTAATGTTTTATTTCATTTACCTAAGCTTCTAGAAGTGAGCGTTTAATGATAATAGACTCTTACGTACCAATCAAATTGATAAGTTGATGTTTTAAATGGATTGTGAATTTAGATCTAGTAATTGCTCTATGATACCACAGAAAATGAGAAATTTTGATTGGTCCTCTTTGAAGCCTGAACTTGAATTTTTCTTCAGCTAGTCTGCTTTTGCAGTGCAAATTGAGGAGCTATCCACTTGACCATTATTTTATAAACTAATTCAATAATGTACAAATGTTCTTATATGATCGAGTCAACCTTCTTAAAGACGGAAATTGTTACTTGAAATAAAAAGTTCAGAAGTCCTGCAATCTGTAAACATTGAGAGATCTGCTTGCTCTTCATAATAAGAAAGTCAATACATTTCTGTGTTCTTAGCATCGCTTATAGGCCCTGAGAAATTTCAGTGGCAGCCTGTACCGTGTTCAACGAGTGCACGCAATAATGAAATGAACATTTTCCTTGGAAGGCCGTGCGATTGCTATTCAATTTCTCCTAAGGAACCATGACACATGAAATACTTATACAAGCCAATGTTAATTCATCCGTGATAAATATAATAATAATCCCGAGTAATGAACCAGCACTCCAAAGTTATTTTCCCGTTAATAAACAGTACCAACTGAAGCGGTTGCAATATTCCCTGCACTAATAAGCCAGCTAAATTATCTTAGGATGCTTGGTATGCTTGCAGCTTACTCGTTGACTTACATTGATCATTTGATTCAACAGGAAATAAGAGGACTTGAAACAATTCATCTCACCTTCAGTGATGATGGGAACTTTAGTTGACTACCAAACGCTGGCGAGAAAAACGGTGTACAAAATAATAACTTCAAATAACATCTTGTCTCGAATACTTTTTTGTCTTCTTGTGTTTCGTTCTCATTACTTTTCACCCTATGTTAACCTTACCTTCTGGGCGTTTTTGTGTTACCTCTCCTTTGTTCGAGTGCTTAGCAGTGGTCCTATACGCGAGGATGTTCCAAATAGTTTCGAGTATAGAATGCAATAGAAACCTGACACAGCCTAAAAAATTAATACAGGTTTCGTGTTGTGGTCCTTGTTCAACTACCCTCTGGAAAAAGTAAATTTCGACTGCTTCAACAAAGATCCCTATTATAAGAGAAGAATCCTAAACATAGAAATTGTCATCTCGTAGAAACTTACTTTCTCACAGTTGAGAGTGATGACATTTCTTTGTTGATTTGTATCTATTGGCTATCGACTAACTTGAGTAAACATACCTTGAAACTAACTCTTGACTAATATCTATTACTAGAAACACACGCTCTTTAAGTATTGAAAAATGCATCTTTCTGTAGTTATTAAGATGATTGATTATACACTTGGGTAATAGATTAACGGTTCATTTCTTGAGGTTGCTTGCTGTCCCTGGGAGTAGTTGCATGCCTTATACTAACCTACTGTATATACTCGTAGTTAGGTGTTTCAGTACACAACTAATAATAACCACTCTCTGAGGCTAGCGACAGCTTCTTTGTTCTTTATCACTCGAGTTAATTTATTTTGCTTCTCTCACCTATGCTAATAAAATATATAACATATTTAGTATCGTAGCGGCTCAACTCGGCAGAAGAATATACCAGCGACTGAACATGTGCTTTGTGGGGGAGGCTATAACAAAGCATATTCAACATGATGTATGTAACGTGAAGCTATAACAAACGAGTCGGCCAATCTAGTCCTCTTGCTCACATTTATAGTACAAGAATCTGATGCTTTGATTTGTTATTTCTGTTAGCTACAGAAAAACTTTTAGAATTATTTCTAGAATCATTGTTCGATACGAAAGTTATCTAAGCTTAATTTAAATTTCAGCACTGTAAACAGCCTCCGGATGAGCGAAAAAGCAATTTATTATCAATAATCACCTGCTGATGGCTTATTCAGACTAACCTGTCTTGTCAGCCTCGAAGGTGGGCAACATGCCAGTTGTAAACATGGTTGTCATATTACAACCTGCCGGTTTTGTGCCGTCTAAAAAGTTATTGATCATCGCTAAACATAAGACTCGTATTGGGGTGGCACTGTGGCAATAAAGATCTCCTTGATCAGCAACAACAGATTTTTATTCGAACAAATCGCGGCACAACAAACACCGTTCCTACCATCTCATGCTCTCGATCTATCCAATCACGAAATTTTGTTCATTTGTAACATCATCCGCAGCATGACTTCAGATTCAATTGAGAAAATTTAAATACATTTGGAATCTTGACTGCAGTTGCGATGCCTTTCACGTTTGAAAATCGTCCTCAACTCGACCATCAAGCCTCGATTGAATTCATAATTAAATATTGTTTTGTTTGTTTCACGAGCCTAAACGCGTAGACTGTTCTCATCTTATCGTTGTCATACTCATTTGAATTAACGCTTGTCATATCTGCCTCAACTAATAACGTTATTTACTGTGCGTGAGCAAAACGCTCCAGCACCTGTGATGCTAACCCCTTCAGCAAAAGCACCACAAATCATGCTAGCCCGATCCTCAAGTTTCTGGTCAGATTCCTCTTGTTCCCTAACACTTTCGTTTTACATTCCCGCCTTACCTTACCTTACAGTACACCACTCTACGTTGACCTCACACAACCACCTGCATTGAGCAGTTAGAATTTTCCCGACATTTCCCCTCAGCATCGAAGAATATCTTACATTGAACATTGCAAATACAATCACTCGCCCGATCCAAGGACCTACTTCATCTCGCCCGTTCTAGCACACGCGCACAGTAATGCCAGTAGTAAACGTGAAGTACCGACCTGCACGTACATCACACACACTGTACTGTACTGCTGTGTACACACAACAGCACACATGTAGTACTTCACTCAACACACACACACTGTACTGCTGTGTACACACAACAGCACACACACACACACACACACACACCAGTTGCTGGTGCCGCGTCTTCTGCAAGGGAAGAATTGTACACATGCGCCCGACGCTCCGCCGTCTACCTTGCCCCTCGCACTCTCCGACCGCCGCAATCTGGCCTTACGCCGGTGAGAACCACATACTGCTCTCTATTTTATGTCCAGCTCTTTTGTGTTCACATAAAGTAGTATTTTCTCTCTGGTTCTACTAAACTTGTTATTAAAGTAGCAGTGTTTTGTCTACATGAACTGTTAGACGCTACATTTGTTGCTATGTGGTACCCTTTTAAGTAGCATTTCGCTTGCATGACCTGTGAAGCTACACTTCCTGTCCAGCTTTATTTTTAATCGCATTGACTGGCTCATTATTCTTTTGCATGCTGACTGGTTCCTAACCAGAGTTTCTTCTTCAATTAATTAATGCGGTATTTATCTTGCTGCAGGTGCAATTTGTATTGAGTTTAAATCTATAGAAGTTTTGACTGCGTTTTCATCGGCCTCTCTTAAAAAAATAATTGTTCGTCAACAGCACCTGTTGCATCACTAAAGCTAAACTTTTCATACTTGGTTTTCATTCCAACATGCGATTTACATGAAAATCAAACCCATTTTAAACATCATTAAAACTTAACTAGTTGACGTAAACTCGAACAGTGATGCCTGTTGACTTAGATGCATCATTTTCTGCACTCGTACCAAAAATCAGCGATTAGTTCGATAGAATTTTTCTGAATTGGCTTTAAATCTCGTGGGCATTCTTCAGAGCAGTTATTGACTCTGTCAGTCATTCTTTGCTGTCGTTTTGGATTTGTTATTCATAGTTTTTTAACCTAAAATAGAAATTGGTGCACTTTGTTTCTTGGATTTTTTGGTGAAAAAATAACAATCATGTTTTTGTGTACAAAATAGCCTTAGGCAAAATTTGAAGTGTTGTAGAATTGAGCCGGAACCATTACTTACGTATTGAATTCACTATTTAGTTTTTTGCAATATTACAGAGCTTTGCAATCTTTGGTTCCATTATTGGCTTAATCCTATACCGCCGTATGTCACTCTCCGGGAACATAACATTCAGCTTAAATTATACGTAAACTATTGAGTGTAGCAACCTGAGACGTTTGTACGCAGCAGAGAACATTTTAAAGTTGTACGTGGCGGCAACCATCAGTGCAAGTCATTTTGCGTTCACTAGATCGTATCCTTTTTGGGAAGTAGGCTTGTGACAATATTGCTCCGGTTACTCGTGTCACGCGGTAGACGGGTAGAGGGTTGATCTCGCTCCTGAGGCTGGGATGGAGCGAGCGTTGTGTAAGCGTCGCACCTTAATATTCCTGATTGAAGGTCGAGCAGAGAGGTTCCGAAATAGCTGAAGTTTGTTGTGTAGCCGCACATATTGTTTCCTATAATGTTAGTTGAATTTGCACGGTTCGGGCTCAGGGGTGTTATCGAATTTCAACACTGAAATTACCCCTTGCCAGTGCGGTACTAGTCAATATTTTGCGGTTTTTATAGGGAGAATTGTGAATTTCTATATCAAATGCCGTGGTTGTTGTCAGTCATTTTTTTTTGATAGCTACCATGGAGATTCTTGAAGGGTTAAAAAAACGATTAATGTCTTACCATTTTAATTTTTTTTTGCTCAATTCTTGAGTATTAAGTAACGTACCATAGAATGTGGAAGCATTGCATGAAGCGATATTTTCTAACTCATATCTACCTACATTGTACAGTCAAGTAAGCTATAAAGGGCAAATGGACCAACGTGTGAAGGACAAATAGTGTTTACTTAATAAATCAAGTTTTTTTGTTATTGTTGTAATACGCCTTCATCCTGTCTTGACTAACTTGATCTAAGTTACTGTTGCAACTTGCAACATCCCTTTATCCTGTCTTGGCTAACTTAAAATAAGTTACTGTTGCAACACCCCTTTATCCTGTCTTGGCTAACTTGATCTAAGTTACTGTTGCAACACTCCTTCGTCCTGTCTTGACTAACTTGATCTAAGTTACTGTTGCAACACGCCTTCATCCTATCTTGCCTAACTTGAAATAAGTTGCTGTTGCAACACGCATTCATCCTGTCTTGACTCTCAGGTATCTGGGTTTGCAAAACTACTGTAATCCTCTAATTGTGACCGAGAATGGACACCTTTGGGTTACTGCATCCAAAATGTTGACCTATTCAAATTTATTCATAATGTCAACATTACTTCAAAATTCCTTGAAATCCAAATTCTCATTCATAGTTTCTTGCCAGGATTGAGGGCGATTTTCTAATTTTTCAACAAGTCTGGTGGAGTTGTGACCTTATGTCTTTAGGTTTAGTGTCATTGATAGTGGGATGATTAACGAAAAGATTAACATGTCATGTAACGTCTATGCTGACAAATTCGTTCACATTTTGGTTTAGAAACGCAAAAATTTGACACAAATAACTTGCAATCAATACAATATTTTCGATACCGTAATAAGCAAGACTAACATAAGTTTATCAAGTATTACTGGAATATTACATTTCTAAAACAAGTATATACATCTGGACTTAAATTGTTGTTATAATTATGAAGCCAGAAACCTTCGTAATTTTTGTTTAATATTGATTTTGTTGACCCATATTTATGTTGTCTATTTATATTGATTTATATCCTACGGATCTTACTGGAATTGTGCCTAGTGTAGTGAGTCAGATATCAGCAATAAGCGACTGAATAAAATGCATCATGTTAGTCACTGTTTGGCTCAAAAACAATATTGCCTTTTTTGGAAATTGAAAGTTAGAGTAGGAATAGAGTTTAATGTCTGCTCAGAAGAAAGCCCTTTTAGAACGAGACTGTAGGTGTGGTATAGCTGTCATCTTAACTCATTGTAGTAGTTAGTTAGGGTGCATAGTTAGTCAATATTACAAGTTATCCATTATATAAGTACCTGATTTGTGTCGCTTTAACAGTGTTGCAGGAGAACATCAGTTATTCTGTAATAACAATGTAATCATCCATTCTACTGTGAAGTGTAACAGAATAACATCAGTTTTAGTCCAGTGTAAGACTGCAAAGCCATCCTTTTTGTTCAGTGTAAGACTGCAATAGCCATACTTTTGTCCCATGCAAGACTGCAATGGCCATACTTATTGTCCAGTGTAAGACCGTTGAGCCATCCTTTTATCCAGTTTGAGACTGTAGAACCAAGTTCTCGCTCTGTGTAAGATAGGAAAGCTATTGGGTTGTCCACTGTAGAGCCAGTCTCCTGCAGTGTAGGATTGTAGAGCCAGTCTCCTGCAGTGTAGGATTGTAGAGCCAGTTTCATGCAGTGTATGATTGTAGAGCCAGTCTCCTGCAGTGTAGGATTGTAGAACCAGTCTCCTGCAGTGCAGGATTTCATTGACAATCTTTTAAGCAAAAACCACCAAATCATGGTGAAGAAAATAGAGCGTAAGTACTTACGTTCACTTAGCGATTTTTGAAAGTATGGCCCCAGGATTATTAAGTTGAGCTTGCATGTGTTGTTCAGATGGCAGGCTATCCTCGCATGCACAAGCGCCCCCTGGAGCCGCCCCTGATGCGCCCCCTGCTGGGGGGCTACTACTAGTCCAGTCTCACCGCATCTCCCCTTCCCTTCACTCTTCCTTCCCCTCAGTGTGAGTGCTTGCCTTCCTCGCAGTTACTCAGTATCTATTTCTTGCATTTACTTTATATTCGTTGCGTTTTTGTGGCTTAGAAAGTTTTTTTTTTTTGCATTTTCAGGTTTTAATTTTCTGAACTCCAATGACTTCAGGCAATTTTTATTGATTTTTTTATGATATTAATAAACACCAGTTATAATTATATTATTTTTCTTAATAAACATCAATTGATATAAACAAGGATCCATGCTTGAAACTTTCTTACATGTGTCTTGATGATATATTCTAAATCCTTTCATTGTGAATGGTTTGCTATTAATTAGAATGAATTTCTTAATTAGTTTTATCCCGGGGACAGCGTGCATGTTTCAAAGTCTTGCTACAAATGAAGCCATCTTGCCTTGCCCTTCCTTTAATCCCATCGTCTTGCCCCCTCTATCCAAGTATCTATCTGTTGCCAGTATATTGTCTTCATTTACTGCCAGTATATTGTCTTCATTTACTGCCAGTATATTGTCTTTATTATTAGAACTTTTCGAAATAATGACTCGCTGAACGTCGCCTCGTCTCTCCTTCCAGCTCTGAGTACTATCACATTAAGTCATATTAATTTGTACCAATTTTCCCAATATTTATCTATTGACTTTGTTAAATTAGCTTATCCTCATAAATTTTTCGTTTTTGATGATTTCTCTTTCAGATTTTTGGATACAAAGAATCCTAACTTTTACTTACAAAATTGTATCTTGTCTCACATATTCATTAATCGCTATTGCTAAGTTAAGAAGGAAGTGCCACCCGTAAGAAACTTATGGATGATCTTAGTGCCTTTCCATTCAACACTTGCCTGTTCGCCATGTTTCTGTTTCTCCCATTTTCAATCCAAGATTCGTTTCAGTTAGTACTTTCTTGAGATTACATTCAGCATTATAACTATATTTCATGATTCATGACATTAAATTGACGCTCTTCTCACTTAAAGCACAAACGATACTGTCTCCTAGAATGTAGTTTTTCCTCCAATCAGCTGAAGTGTTTTCTCTTATCTAGTTATTTCACCGATCAGTCAATGCAATCCTCTATCTTGACTCTTGAGGAATCATTCTCCTTAAAATTTCAAACTAAAAAACATGTTTCACAATCGGATAATTTGAGATGTAAATTTCCTTTTATAGATTTCCCTAGCTTGCTTTCTTCAGTGACGCAATACAAGCTCAGTTTAAGCTTGTCGTCACCAATAATATTGCAAGACTTCAGCTGTATTTCCGGAATATGATCATTCAACATTGCACTATATAAGTGTTTTTCAAACTTACCTTCCATCTATGATGTTCATCACAGTTCTGTATAAATTATTGAATATGTTTGTTGTGGGTTGTTCTGTCTCTGTCATATTTTAATTAGAGTTCCTATCTGTGCCTACTTTTAATTAATTCTCCATTACGTTGTTTCAGGCAAAAGTTTTGTTACTTTATTACTGACTTACCCAACTATGTGCAGGGCAAAGGTCGCATAAACAACGGCCGGTACGTCCGCTAGCTCAGCTTTGTGAGAGGACAGAAGACTCTGGGCAACTGATCCGTCTTTCACTGCCGCTACCGTCACCTCAACATCACCCAACAACATCGTTTATTTCCCAGGCATGGGGCTGACGAAATACATGCTTAGTTTTTTCCGAGATTGCATTTCATCAAGAAAATTAGGGAGCTACTAGAAATATGTATTTATTCTGAATCGGGTGTCAAGTTGGTAATTGATAGTCTATGCAAAGGAATTAGTCAATATCTACATGTTGTCTATTCATAATTTTTCGCTGGGAAAAATCTGTTGCTATTGGGAAAATTCGAGTTCTGGATGTATGAAAAATTGTGGGTAAATTTAGCTATCGCCAATTCTGAAATTCTAGTCCGGTTGTGAGATGTCGTGGTGGTTCTTGCAGTGAAACATGAGATATTGGTGTGTGAAGTGGACCGCGACATGCGCCGTTGGGTTGTCAAGTCTTTACCGCCTGTCCAGACAGAATTGTTTTCTCGTTACAATGCTATTCGCTACCTGAAATGCAAAGGAATTAGGTGGTAAGGGGTTGAAGAAGTGCAGCGCAGCTCTGACAACACATCCTCTCACTATGTTACAATTAGTGCTGTGATAGTTTTATCGACTTACTCTGGAGCTTTTCTCCTCTGACCAACCCTGCTCTCTTTCGCGTGTAACACTCCGAGCGAGGTCGCTCGTTAATACCAAGCTTCATTAGTTCTCATCTCCCAATGTGAGATTTTTATGATTGAGATACTCAAGTGTAGATGAAACAATCCGTTAAAATTCTTCGCTTTTCGTAATCAAATGTAAGGAGATTGCGTTATTGACGCAGCCGTAGCCTAACGTCTCTTAGTACGAATAGAATTTGCCAATTTTTTCACCATAGATGGTCAAGTAGCCCCATTGCATTAACACTTTCATCCTCCTGTTTATCGTACAACGAAGCTGCCCGAAATGTTTCTGCATCAAAGACGTAATTTCGCTCGTAATTCACCACCGCTATAAGTCGAACTACTGAGATTTTTCTGCTGCCGAGGCTAGCCAGCTGAGAAAACTTTACACCACTGCTTCTTATGTCACTGACGAGCCATCGTTCGTGTAACTTTTGTCCTTGACTGTAGCTGAACACTTGATTCCCTTGCCTACACATGCCTTTACCAGCGCTTGTCCCTTGATACCCATCCTGTGCACAAGGAGATACCAAACGAATCATTTGGTCTGTATTACCTACCGTCTGCAATATTTCCCGTTTAGGCCAGATGGATGTCGGCTGCATATGCAGTTTTTCAGGGTTAATCTTTACTACGTAGTAACTCTAGTAACATCGACTCCCCCTACGCCATCAGCCTCCTCCGCCAGACTACTCCTCATTCTTTACTGGCAATTGCTGTCTGGTTTGTGTCTCCTCAGAGGTTTTAATAATCCCGTCCATCTCATACGAGTGCGCATTTTAGCTATGCTTGAGCCAAAAAGTTTGGATACGGTGGGCTATAAAGTCTTTCATATATCCAATGGCATTCACCGAAAAAAACGTGTAGTATTGAGAACGTAAATTACCGAACGATTGGTATTTAAAACCAAGTCTAGTGTGCGACCGCGAACGCACGTCCCGATCCTGAATATTCTAATATATCAAGTAAATGACATTTTTATACGGGACCGTTTGAATAATAGAATCATGCATATAATAAATAGTTCCTCGCCTTTTCTGTTGCACTCAAAAAACCAAGTCGTGTTTGATGGCTTGTATATGAATTATAATTCCACTATCTTCACAAATTGCGGGCTTCTCATTGGACTATAAGGTGAACAACGCGTGTTAAGGTTGAGAATGATGCTCGCCAATTTTAATAGGTATTCGTTCTTATAGCTTTCGTGATACAATTTGTGTATCTGGTCAGTAAAGAAGATCCATTTTGCGACACTTTCACGGCTTCAAGCAAAATTACTGTATTTTCACATCGCGTTTATGGATGAAGCCTCGCACAGTTACTAACTGTAGTGGAGCTTTCAGTTCGATCTTTTTTTAAGCACTTAACGTCCAAAGCGACGTATCGATTATAAAAAGACTGCAGCATTTAATAAATCGTTTTATATGGTGAACACAGTGAAAGTATAATGAATCATTTAAATACTCGCGCCTCTTGGTGCATAGCAGAGACAAGTTAAAGTTATACCATCATAGTTATATTGTTTAAGCCGCGGGCATATGGCCCTTTCAATGAGATATCTTGCTCTCTGCAAATAACGTTGTGTCGATATCAGCTGTGTATTAACCAAGTGTTCACCATAAAGTAAATGTCTTCAGAGCTGCAGTCTAAAACTCTAAATGCGATGAAAAGGAGGAAAGAGTTGTATTGCATTTGCTCGTGCCCCAGGTACATGGAGTTTTAAATGCAAAATGTTTCTATTATCGTGCCCTAGTGACACTCGTGTGTCGTGTCGTGCTGGCTCGAAGTTATGCTGGAGTTAAGATCCAATTTGTCCGAGACCGTTTATTTTAGTGGTCGCTTGGTTTCCTTGGGCGATTTTATTCGTACGTTAGCTTTTCATTGTCTCGTATGTTGACCAACATACTATGGCCGACATCCGCGTTTCTGGATCGTGATTGTAGCCTGTGTTACTGGGTTACCAAGAGTCCAATGGCATCTCAGCTTTACCGATGCCACCAAAAATGAGGTCTTTTCCTGAATTCTTAACAAAAAACTGCAATTAATTTGTTAAAACTTAAATTATTTTTTGTTCTTTTTTGCCTAGAAATAACTGATTAATCCTTCGCGTTTGTCGAGCAGGCTAAGGACCGTCGCGTTTAAGGTTTTGATTGCTGTCGTTAGGCACGACTAATTCTCTGTTTTACGTACACCTTATGGTTATTGTTGTACGTACACTTTATGCTCATTCGACCGAACTGTTTTTAATTCGAACTTGGATAAAAGTTCCTTAATGTTCATGGGCTGAACGTGCTCGTCTGTATATGTACTTTTGCATCAATATTTTTATTGGAGAGAAATTGAAAAAATTCTAGTTGGCAACGTGAGACCAAATTTATGTTTGTTGGAAACTTACCAAATCTATCGTAGATTTACATCTAGGAAGATAAGATGAACTTTCATGTTCAGAAAATGAGAATTAAATTTATTTTGAGAACTTCAGAAGCAGATTTATTTTCAACGCTTTATTGGAAAGAAACGAACTGAAATTATATTCAGATGGAGATATAAATGTTCTTAGATATTATTTGATTATAGTTTGAGTATCAATGACCTGGTCTTACACGAGCCACGTTTTCGGTTCTCTAAAATTATTTAGTTTTAACGTTGGCTTCAATTATTCTCAGTAAAGTTATTCCTCCGTTTTTCGCTTTGTTCTTGTGGGTGGATAACGTTGATTAGATTAAGTATTTCTCTTGTAATGATAATGGGTGTGTCTTGCCTATAAGACGCGTGCTGACAAACTAAGGGCGTTTTTCCATAAGCTTTCTACCAAAATTCTGTTTACATTGAATTTATTGTGCGCTTGTGTCTGGAACCTATTTATCGAGTTTTCATTCAAATGATCGAGCGTTAATACGCAAATTTTAACATATGGTAACCAGTTAATGGCAAAAATGACACCCTGGAAACTAGACTTGTTTTGAGTGAAGAATGAAAACGAACGTAAAAATAAGAGTAACTAGTCTCCGTGCAGTTCTGCTGTCGGTTGCAAAAAAATGAAGCAATGAAGAGTAGAAAACTTTAGGAAGAAAGTTTTTAGATTGCCAGTGCGCCCTTGATACGCACCAAGGCTGAGGTTGTTCGCTGACCAACCTGCTGAATGTTGTGCGCTAGCGTCCTGTGCTGTCAGGCCACGCATCCTGCACACTCTTATTTGTTACCTTCATATTTCATACCAGATAGAGTTAATTGACAGTGAATATCCGTGAAGAAAAGAATATCTAAATTTTGTGGTGCAGATATTACGGATAAAAATTGGTCGTATTACTTATATGCTTATATTGGTATTATTTACTAGCTTCAATTGAGAAAGATAGGCAACGAGCATCAGTTTTACCTACTTCTATTTTAGTGTTGACACATAAACTACTCCATCATATTGCCGAGCCTCCTGATTTTTATGATGATTTCCGTTGATATTACCCATATGATTTTGGTTAATTCTGCTCGTATGGTGATTTTGTTTCGTAAAATAGTGAGCTTATGCTTCTTTGTCTAAATGCGCTCGAATCGTGCAAGAGGTCAGAAAATGATCTATATATAGTACGGAAGGAGACATTTAACCACTATGACCGAGTTGTGAACTTGAGAAAATCAATTGGTTCTCTGCAATTCTCTATTTGATACGAACCGATCCTTCAGAAAGCATATCTTTATACTTGTACCAATTCCTAAACATGGCTTAGACAGTGCAAGTCGCTAGCGGTCCGTTCTAAGCATTCATGAGCTGTAAATTTACTCTCGTCGTCGTTTATTAACCGTGTACGCTAGTATACTTATAATCTTGACTAATAATCTCGTGTTGTAGCTATTGCCTCCTTAGATCATGTGGCATAGCCGTCCAGGTTTATATCTCGCATTTCAATAGGTTGAAAGCGATCACGCTCCTTAAATTTAACTCAAAATTTGCGGCACGTTAATTGCACGGATAACTTTATTCATTTCCTTGAGATTTGTATTCATCTTTATTGCTTGAAGTCTATTGTCGAACTTTCTGGGTAATTTCTTGATGAATGATGTATGCATACCGATTGCATGGTCATCGGTAAATTCTTATTATTTACTCGTATCTATTATTTAGTGGAAAATCGTTATTTAGCAACCTTTGTCCGATTCGAAATCGATGTACGACTTTTTGACTGCTCTGTACCTCGTGAGTTGTTTGCCGTTTCTATGGTGGATGTAGGGTTTAGATTTTAGGTAGCTGTTTGCATGCATTACAATGGAATAACGTCACTGATTCTCATCAGAGATATCTTCTTGAGGCCGAGCGTGGCGCTCTGGCTCTCTTGCTTCATTTCATGTCTGACGAGGCGGTGGACTTTTTTTGTCAGTCTTTGGACTGTCTTTTGAAGCTCACTCCTAAGCTCTTTGATGTTAACGGCAATGTTTCATACGTCTTGATTGCTAATGTTTTATTTGTAAGTAAATCATTAATATTTGAAAGTGTTTGGCAGAAATGTCTATAGTTCCTATGTCGATGCTCGTAGTCAGTTTATCGAAGCAGCTCTTGTCTAAAATTTATTGCGTATGTTATAGGGCTTCATTAATTCATTGTGTGATTATAAGACGACGAATAAGAAAACATTTGCGTTAGCATGAAGCTGTGCATGAGGTCGCGCTATCGACTGCGCGTGAAGTGAACCTTAGCTGCGCGTCTCTGAATTACATTAACAGCTTGTATCCTATCAAAAGGTTGGAATTTCAATTACTGATTAACTTTATAATCAATCGTTCATTCTAATTGCACTTCACTTTCACTTTTTTTGTACAAATCCTACAAATTTCGCGCGTAAAATGTGTGTCTAAGACCATCATTATTTCACTTCTGACACTGCTTTCTCAAACAATTTGGTGTTTGCTTACTTCTTTGTAACGACTGATGAAAAACAAAAACAGTGATTACTTAAGTCCCCGTTAATTCGTTTGCGTAGCCCCCTTCTGACGAAGGGTATTGGATCGTGTATGTAGTAGCTTGTATTCGCAGACCTGTTCCCAGAGTTCGTCTCACGCTGATCGTTATGCACGACCTCTCGTCAGTTGTCTGCATGAGTTTAACTCTTCGTGTTTAAGTTAATCGCTGTACTGCAACTTTGAACAGATACAGCGGTATGAAACAATTGTAAACCAAACTTGTGCACTAATCTCAAAATAATGGCAGGTGTGAGCAGTTATTTGTTTGTACTATTTACATGCTATGAGCTTATTTAGGTTTACTTTCAATTTCGAAAACAAATGATGGTATCCGAGTAACTTGACTGATGTAGCAACGACTAAAACTGGCTCCAGTTAGCCATTCGATCGTAAGTGTAAAACATTCTCGAATGTATTACATTGAATTGAATAAAGTATTTTGTGAATTTTACTGCAAATTAAGCATGTGTTGAGAGTAGGTATGCACTTCATCATGAGTTAATTGTGAAGTAGATGTGCGTGTAGTCTGCAGTAACTTTTATTGCCTCCAGCGTTGTCTTGGCAGCTACCGCGCTACATAATTCTCTTCAGACCGCCCGGTCGGCAGCAGTAATTCTTACCTTTGTTTTCAACTTAATTTTATGATTCTTATAAGTCACAACCGAAATAAGAGAAGTTGAAAAATTGTATCCTATTTTTTCAAAATGGCTATTATTGTAGCATCAGCTTTGATTTATAGATTCAAAAATTTTCGGCCGGTCTCATTACGAAATTTGTTTTTGTCAACGGGGTAGATATCTTATCATTTTTATCATGAACAGAGAGAGTAGTATTTATTGTTCTTGCTACGGCAATATTTCATGCGTTGTGTTAGTATTGTTCGAAATTTACTTAATGATTGCGTGAATGGTAATTTGCTAAGTGACGACCTTAGTTTTGTTCCTGTGTAATGTTGACAAGATTAGTGCAGGTATATTTAGGTAGGCCGACCGGGTGCGTTGGTGAACTTGTTACTGTAAGTCCTGAGAGCGCGACGCTTGGTTCTTCCCTCACCGCTCACCTGACAACATTACCATCCTCACTGAGTGCTCAGCCCGCCTTTAATGATCATATACTAGACATGCTCTCACTGCCACGTGCAGCTTTGCTATGAACCGCCCCGCGGTTCTATGAACTAAATATGAACTTTGCTATGAACTAAATATGAACTTTGCTATGAACTAAATAGAGTCGCCTTCAGAAATTATTAGTTCCTCTCAGATTTCTTCTAATTAGCAGCAAAGAATGCTAGAAACTTTGTATTCTCATATATACTTTCATCATTTTTTATATTAACACGGTTGATGTTATCAATTATTATACTAACATTCTTTGTTGTGTACTCGCGTTCGAGCTTCTTTAATTTCAATTCTGAATTACATTGGTCCAAGTGTGGTGAAACTCGCTTGTGTTTCAGAGTTAGATCATAGAATAACTTGAGCCATGCTTCTTACTTGACTACTTTAAAGCTATTTAATTCATCATCAATATAAACATCCATAATACAAATTATGCAACGTGCTAAAAGCTGTTTTACAAATTGATAGTTCCGTTAAGAATTTGACATAGGCAATACACTCCATGAGTACGAACACCTTGCGGGGGTGACTGCAACATTTGGGCGGGCTAGAGCACAAACTCCTGTGATATGTCGCGATGCGGTGAGGAGAAGACCATTACAGTGCTGAAGGACATTGCCAATCCTCCTACTCCTGATAACACACATCGCTTTCTTTGAACGGTACCTGAGTCTCCTAGAAGTACTGATGACTTTGGCCTTTAAAATGGTTATGGTCTGCCTTCTCGAGACTCCCATTAAGTCTTAGTGTCTTCGAAAAAAAACTAAATAAAGACACATGGAAGTATATTTTTTTATACCGTCTGTTACTTAATTTTTTTTTTTGTTCTCATACCACTGACTATCTCTCAAAGTACAGTTTAATAAAGTATTTGAAATACCATGTTTTTATTTTAACTCGGCCCCTTTTGTAGTTGCTACAGAGTTGAATATAGATGCATATAATGATAATATGACAATGAAATAAAATAATTGAATTAAATATAAATTATATAATAAAATTATAGCCTCGTTGCAGAACGTTGTTGGTGGTCTTGACAACGCCTGTCACGAGATGAGTGTGGATTTGTTTAACAATGAAGCCGCTCAAACCATAGAAAAGTCTAGTTAAGAATTCAATTCATATGACCTTTCTCGCCTCTTGTTTATGCGAGCACCTGTTATAAATCGAAGAAGCGCTAGATACAGAGAAGGAAAACTACTAGATATTCCATCTCCATAAATCTTGCCCACGACATAAATCAATCTGTCAATAATATTTTTAATTTGGTTGGTAGACGGTGCCATGTAGACCCAGATTCTCTTATTTAATGTTGATTGCACCCTACAATCTTTCGTGTTAGATTATCTAACAGCTTCGATCGCTGTAATTGAGTCCATCTGCTGCTCTGAAACCATTATCCTGCGCACACTGGACTAATGTGTCTCGGGGCCTACGGAGAGGCTAAGCGGTCTCTCCGCAGGGAGATCGCCTCCCGCGTTGCGGTGACTGAAGCTATAAACGCCGTCCTCGCTGCTCCGCCACCGCCGATTGCATCGGTGGAGGCCTCATTCCCTCGCCCCTACCGCTCGACGCTCTCCCAGTTCCGCTCGGGATACTGCAGGTCCCTGGCGTGCTACTCCGCTAGCATCGGACGCTCCCCTAGCTCCGTTGGCCCGAAGTGCGGGGTCCCCTCCAGTCGGTCCAGCACCTCTTGCGGGAACTGCCTGTGAGTTTATTGGCGCTCATCTCTCGGACACTTTTACGGCCGGACTCGCGGCCGGTTCATAAGTTTCGGTCAACCTAAAATAACGAACGCATCTCGGTGAAACTTGGTACACGTATTCAATAGGACCTAAAGTGATGTTTAGGTCGTGGACTTTTTTTCGACTTTGTCTTCATTCGCGAAATGTATGGTTAGACGGAGAAACGATCGGCATTCCAGTGTCAAATTTGCAGCGAGCCTAAAATTACTCCCAAATCAATGAACGCAGTTCAATGAAACTTTGCACATGCATTCATTAAGCCATAACGGTGATTTTTTAGATCGTGGTCAATTAAAAATCGAAAAAATGACCATGACCTAAACATCTTTGTTGTGGCCTAATAAATTAATCGAATTGCGTTCGTCAGTTCGAGAGACATTTTAAGCTTAGTGGAAGTTTGACAGTCGGACACAGAAGTGCCAGTCATTTCTCCGTATAACTGAGAGCGCAGCCGTGCACCAGCAAATTTGTGCATAAATCAGAACTGAATGGAATGCTTACCTAGCACACTTAGGTAAGGCCATCCGATAGGTATATACAGCTGTATAACTCGCGAACGAATGGGAAACATTTTCACGACCTAAACATCACTGTTATGTGGTAAATAAGACATATGTAAATATCGATAGTTTCGTTCCAAATTCCAATCTAAACAGTGGTATAAGGCTCACTGCGAATTTTGGACCATATAACCCAAAAACGAAAGCAAATCGAGAAAATGATCACGACCTAAACATCTCCGTAAAGTCCTATTGAACAAATGTGCATAATGCGCGAATGACCATAAAGTTGGAAGATTAAGCTTCACCTTTAACATGTAAGTTATAATGTTTACTAAAAAGTTCGTACTCGTGCTAAGGCTCCGGGGCAACAAATGCCGGAATATTTTTAGGACACCGCTAAATGACAAAAGATAAGAGTTAGACTTTTAGGCAGGGATTTTCCTCGTCAGAAATGAATCATTAGAATGTAAGTATCTATATTTTTTGTGAAGGATTCACAATTTTTCTATCGAAGGTACTTATTAGCTTTTTCAATGGTCTGGGAATATTTTTGATTTATGGGAGTGTAATAATTCCCACTTTCGTTCAAACATGACTGTAGAAGTGTTGTGACCTCACTGACCTGTACTGACTGCTGAGTGTGCTCTGTGTCTGTGGGAATTGGGTTTTATCAGGTATCTGAAAGCTGACTGAAGCTGTTGCTGTTTTTCTATCCTTTGAAGAAATATTAAGCGCGTAATGACAAATAATACTGCTACTCTGGTTAGTCTGGTAGTTGGTACAGACCCTACTCATCCATATTCTATTATAGTGATTAAAAATAAAACATAATGGTAAAATAGGTAGCCTAAGGTAAAGATTTTCACAACATTTTTGTAACACCTTAAACGGTGACCTTATAATTATTAGGTCTTAAGATAAGTCATAATTGCAGTTATTGCACTGTGTATTAAGTTGCAAAATGCAAATGAAATATTTTTTAGAAACCAGCTCATTTAGTCATTTCTATTATCTAGCCTAGTAAATTAGTAGTAATCTAGATGTACTTTAAAATTTGTATGCAATATCTTGGTTTTGTTAAATTGTTGATGACTTGATGTTGGATTGTTGTTAACTTGTTATACTTATAGGTACCTAGCCTATTCATTATCGTTGGTAGGCGTAGGCCTAATCCATTATCCAGGTCGTGACATGCCAGACACGGTGACCGGAGTCCAGAGGTCACCAGTCGGCAGTCACCACTCACCACGCATCCCAATTCAATTCAATCAACCATCAATCCATCATGAACGATGAAACTTACTGCAACTGAACATGGTGTATTTCCAGGATTGGCAGTAGCCAGTAGGTACTTATTCAGTTAGGGTAAACGCAGTATATTCCGACATCGTAGGTAATTCCGTCACTTCTCTAGTTTTTCCTTTATATTAAGCTTTGTTTTAGTTCCATGCGTTCATTGATTCGTTCCAAGCTTTGTACAAAAATTGAAATTTGCTTAATTAAAAGCCTAATAGCTGTTAATTAAAACGTAATTAAGTAGTGTTCAATATTCATTAGTGTTCTAATTCAAAGCTGTGTTGTATCCCAATACAGCTCACACAGCGACATAGTGACAAACCAGAGATTTTTTAGAATCAATTCATTTTTAATTTCCTCATTTACTCAAGACTTAAACCAATTTCTTATGTAAGATAATGCTGGTATCCATGATACTTTACTGGTCTACTTATAGGACTCAACTTGAGGGAGAGTCTAAAAAAACTCTCTGCTTTGCCACTATGCACAGCGAACGGAATTCGAATACGTTGATGTCGGCATTACGTATCAGTTAAATTTGAAGCGCTGACGCAATACGACTCACCACATGTCGAATATTGCCATACACAGTGACGGAATATAGGGATTTGGTAGGTTTCCATTCTAAAGGCTTTTTAATAAATATGGCAACATTTTGTGACGTTTCATTGTTGCTGACACGTAGTGAAGTGTTTTGAGAGTCACGTGAAGGCAACAGAACTTACGTAACGCATACGGTTTTTTTTTTATAGTTTTTCATTTCTCGTGCGTCCTTAATGTGTCGGAATATACCACGTTTACCCTATTGGTCCTTGCAGAGAGTGCCCGGTCTTGGTCTGCACCTCTTATTGATTTATAGAATCAGTTTAAATTTAATTTCCTCATTTACTCAAGATATAGGGTAAACGCCGCAAACGCGGTATATTCCGACATTGTGGGTAATTCCGTCACCTCTCTAGTTTTTCCTTTATATTAAGCTTTGTTTTAGTTCCATGCATTTGTTGATGGTTGAAATGGTGACGTCATACATTTGCACGTCAAACTACTGCCAAAACACTAGGTCTTGGCCATCTAGCGGGAAAATATTGAGATCCGAAGAGAGACAATGCACGGCTTTGCACGCTACCCAGTGAGATCATCGAAAAATGTGTCAAATTTGACAGTTGACCTTGCTCTACCAAATAGTGAATAACTGTTTGTATAGGAAGAATATTATGGTTTGAGACTTTTAAATACGTCTGTGAATATATTAGGAATCCTTTTAAGTATACCTACTTGTATTTGCTGATTTCAAGTGGGAAATAAATTAATAGATGATTAAGTTGAGAAATGGATTTAGACACATGAAAACTAATTCCGTCACAACTTGAATTGGACACACACAGATCGTTCCAAGCTGTGTACAAAAATTAAAATTTGCTTAATTAAAAGCTTAATAGTTATTAATTAAAAGCGTAATTAAGTAGTGTTCAATATTCATTAGTGTTCTAAACTTCTAATTCAAAGCTGTGTTGTATTCCAATACAGCGAATGGAATTCGAACACGTGGATGACGGCATTACGTATCAGTAGAATTTGAAGCACGGACGGAATACGCCTCACCATGTGCTGAATATTGCCACACAGTGTCGGAATATAGGGATTTGGTAGGTTTGCATTCTAAAGGCTTTTAAATAAATATGGCAACATTTTGGGACGTTTCATCGTTGCTGGCGGGTAGTACGGTGTTTTGCGAGTCACGTAAAGCCAACAGAACTCGAGTAACACATAGGTACGGTTATTTTTTATAGTTTTTCATTTCTCGATGCGTCCTTAATGTGTCGGAATATACCGCGTTTACCCTATAAAAAATTTTATGTAGCATCAAACTGGGTGGTATTACTTTAGATCATAGTGGCAAAGCAGAGAGTTTTTTTAGACTCTCCTTCAAGTTCAATTTCAAGTCCTATAAGTAGACCAGAAAAGTATCATGGATACCCATACCAGTATCATCATACATAAGATATTGGCTTTAATGGCTTAAATCTTAGGTAAATGAGAAAATAAAAATGAACTGATTCTAAAAAATCACTAAAAAAATTTGCCACTATGCTTTAGATAAAGTGCATTAAAAAATGGTGTTTTTTTTGTTTAATTATATGTTTTTTGGGGTGTAGATAAAGAATCTGAAATCTGTTTTTGGCAGTCGGCATTGGAAAACCGATTTTTATGTATGCCGATTTTTATATATTTTCTAAAGTAAAATGCAAGTTAAATCTTGGCCCCAATATCCGTGGATTTATAGCATTTTTAACTTAGCCTCGGTGACCCATATACCCTTGCAACCACAACATTGCAGGCAACCATAACATTGCAACCACAGTTAGGTTAGGTTTTTTGCCTATTTTTGCCCGATTTTTTTTGACAAATTAGAGCCTTGGGGAAAAAATCAGTTTTCCGATGCCCACCGCCAAAAACGGATTTCAGATTCTTTATCTACACCCCAAAAAAACATATAATTAAAACAAAAAACACCCTTTTTTGGATACACTTAATCTAAAGTATTACCAACTGGGTAATAAGGGACAAATTCTGAAATAGCATATAGATTTTTTTTCAGAGATGCCATATGGTACAGGCATGGAATATATCTACTTGGCGAGCCGCAACTGAATTTTTTGAGCTATGGATTTATAGATATGCTAGCCGTGATTCCATTTCTTTGAGCCTTGATTTGATTTTTTTGAGCAGTGATTTGATTTTTTTGAGCAGTGATTTGATTTTTTTAACCATGAATTCCATATCTGGGCCATCCCTGCCATGAAAAGCCATTTACAAGCCCCGAACTTATTTACAAAGTCCCTGCATGTGTTACCCCAAGTCTCTAATCTAATCTTAACCTAAAACAGTCAAATGGCACCAATAACATTTGTCTTTACTGTAAGCTGAACACATGTTAATGCAGTCTGACCACTCTGACATGGCCGCAACTATGCAAGATCTTCAACAAAGTGTTTAGGTTGACCTGTTGTCATTACAATGATTATATATATGTTCTGCAGGATATTTTGGCAGTATTGTTAAAGTAAAGTGGGTTGCAGAAGTTGAAAATTTTATGAAATGACATGTTTGCAAAATGCAAACCATGAATATTTTAATCAAACAAAAATACATGACTTTAGAGCTGCAAGATTTCATACCTACTGTAATTATATAATGAGCCTAAACTTGTTTATGAACTGAACCCCGCTCTTTTCCTACAATATCTCGCTGCTTGGCGCAAAATACAAAACAGGAAGTTTCTGTAAATCACCCTGTTTTATTTCTTATGTGGTGCCTCATTACCCCTTGTAATCAAAATACCAAACTTGTCCTCAGGTTGTATACCAATTAGGTTAGGGTTGCAACAGACATGCCTATCCCTACAGAATTGCAAATGCCTATGCTACTTGGGTACACTAGTTTATGATAAAAGATTAACTTTCTTGTTATTTTCCTGATGTGAAAAAATCTGCTAGGTTAATTATGTTGTGTTTAATTGATTTTTAAATATATAAATTTAAACTGCGCTGCAACCAGAGCACTTTCCTAGCTGCAACTAGAGCCTATCTGATTATTTTGGAACCATAAGATTCCTGCTTCATGAATTATCTCCTATAAAATTGTTATCAAAAGTAAATTTTTCAGCTATGAGATTCCAAAATTTTTGAAAATGTCACTTTCAAGTCAAAAGATTTTAGAATCAAGTCAGTAATTTCCAATCTTATGACTTGCCAAGTATGTTTTACAATACCTTTGCAAGACTTGACTAACAAATATTTTTATTTTCGAGGTCCAGCAACACTGATAAGTCCAAGTTGAGTCTTGATGAGTGCAATCGTCAGGTGATTGAAATCCTTGTTGACCCTCCAGAGACTCGCCCTCCTCACCCACTGCAGACAAATGATGTGGCTGCTAGAGGCTCACCAGAACAGGATTATGGTAATTTATAGGCCTATTGTTTACTGTTAATATTGTTTACTTTTTAGTTGGCATTAGTAAAACAGAACAAAAAATACCTACTTTAAGACCTATTAGTACACAAGTTAATAGTCTTTTGTACACTTTTGATTATAGACTATGGGATGCTATTTATTAATAGAAGGCTTCATTACGTACGTCTTGAGTTAAGAATCATTGATTCAAAAATTATCACTGATAAGATGATGAATGGAATCTTGTAGCAAGCCAGGGACTTCTTGTACTAATGCAATAAAATGCATTTCTGACCATTACTTCATTTGTATAGTAGTTTGGCATGATAATTGTTTCAGTAACTTGAGTTTTGTTTGCGGTAGGAAGTTCTTATTTGATTCTCTAATATATGAGTATATAGTTTTAATTGGAATTGTCGTTATATTATCTCTAGTGATCATTATGGATGTTTCCAAGTTTATCCCACAAAATTTGTTTTGTTCAGCATATGTTATTGTGAGCTTGGGCTTGGAAATTTTTATTTGCCTGTACATCATTTAACAGTAGAATTAAATGCTGCAAGGTATGACAGGAAAAATAAGGACTAAGAATTGAGATTATAAATATAATACTTTTTTATTAAAGTTTATAAAGAATTGAGATTATAAATATAATACTTTTTTATTAAAGTTTTTTTTTATAATAGCAATGACATCCTCTTTTAAAATTGAGGATTTGGTCAGCTTCACATGAATGGAATTGTTCCCACTTTTGATAGTTTCCTTAGTATTTGTTTCTGATGTAGCCTGGATAGCCGCCAATGCAAGAAGTTCTCATCATATTCATTCCATTCTTCTGAATGTTTTCTGCTGTCCAGAACTGACATTTTGAAGTGATTTTCCATTGAAGAAAAATTAAGATGTCACAGGAGATGAGAAACAACTGGAATGCCTTCAAGGTCATGAAGCCTGGGACTGGCACAGCTGTGTGATGTGTGTTGTTTCTACTTTAAATTCATTTCCACTATGTGTAACATCTCATGTCCAATGATTTACTTGACAGAAACAATCAAGTCGATCAAAATTGATGACAACTGTTCCATTGAAAGTCACCCTGGTGATGTGAGTAATTTTATCATTTTACAGTTGATGTTTATTTTTAATCCTATTCATACAGTAATTCTCCAACAGTTGCATATATGAAAAAAGAATGCTTTTTAGAATGTAAATCTGGTTTCAATTGTCAAAAGAAATTAAGTAACATGTTTGTATTCTAAAGTTTTCATTTTTGTAAAGCATTCTTCATTTTCTTAGTATAAATAAGCTAAGCATCGGGTCTCAAATCAAAATAGGTATTAATTAATCACTGACAAAGTAACTAATTTTAGAATCTTGCTCCTTATATTGAATGTCTTGCTCCATATATATAAATGAAACTAAATTTTTCTCACTTTTTTTTTATATTAGATTAAATTCTGATCATCCAATAATAAGGTATAGTAAACTGGTAGTTATGTATTTAAGGTATTATATGGTAATACATATATAAGGTATATATGTATTTAATACCTTAAATAAATAAATAAGGTACCTATATGGTATATATGTATTTAATGTATTTACTCAAGCACTGAGGAATATTTGTATAAACGAACTTTCTTTGCCAGGATTTGGGCCCTTGCAATACCATTGAGTTCACCTCTACTGACTGCAATACATTTGAACCTGATGGCGACGTGGATGCTGGACAAGGATACCTCATACATCACCACGCAAGTGGTAATGTATCCTTAACCAGTGTTCTCCTTAACCTGTATTGTGCTTAACCAGTATTATCCTCAACCAGTATTACCTTATCCTTAACCAGTATTATCCCTAACCAGTATTATGCTTAACCAGTATTATGCCTAACCAGTATTATGCTTAACCAGCATTATCCTCAACCAGTATTACCTTATCCTTAACCAGTATTATCCTCAACCAGTATTACCTTATCCTTAACCAGTATTATNTTATCCTCAACCAGTATTATCCTTCCAGTATTATCCTTAACCAGTTCTAATTTGACTTCGATTATTATGCAAATTTTAAGCATTTTGACTAGATGTTTGCAGTTGTACTCTGTTTTACTAAGTGTAATGTTGATGTTGCCTCTTTTATGCTAATTTTTCTATTATCACATGCGGTTATTGTTTTTTTACGGTTTTTTCTATGGTTTTGATTATTTTAGAAATTTGTTATTTGTTTGCTTTCATTGTCATCTTGTTATCATTGGAATTGAGTTTTGTATCTATTTTTTTTGCCCGTGAAGCTTTTTTAGCTTATATGGGCATTCACCTGGAAGCCTTGCTATTTTATTTCACGTCTCTTTTATATTTCATTGTAGCGTGTCCTCCTGTGTGAATAAATAAATGAAATCAAGTATGGGTTGCTGTGCATTTAAATTTACTGCCGGTTTTCCTATTATAAACTACTTGTACTTGATGGAATGAGTGAGTTTAATTGGAAAAAATCAGATGCAAGAAAGAAAAGCAAAAAAAAATATCAGAACCTTGCCTACCAGTCTTGAAACAGGTTAAGTTCCATGTTCAAAAATAGCTTGGCTTATTGACATAGCTTTATGATGACTTTCATGTGCTTGTGCAGATGGAGGCTCTAATGAATATAAAAGTTGTTCTTCATTCATATTAATTCAGAATCCGTATTCAGATTTAGTTTACACCTCGCGTGTTATGTTAATAAAAATTAGATGTTCCCATCTTTCCAGTATATGGATCTAGCTTTTGTACTAAGAACATTTGCATCATTGAAAATATTGCATACGGTATAGAATATCACAAGAATTGTCAAACATTCTGAATTTTAAATATTCATAACTAATAACAAAATATTGCAAATAGAATATCATAGGAATTGTGAAACATTCTGAATTTCAAATATTCATAACTGAAAACATCTTATTTATTCTTAAGATATTATTGTGTTTGCAGGTTCTGAAGAGCACAGTGGCACAGCTCGCCTGAGGAAAGTTATCCAGACGGTGTACCTGAAGAAAGTTCCCAAGCCTCATAAAGGCAATCAAGTCAATGGAATTAAACATAAGAAAGCTTCTGGCAGCTCCAAGAAACGGTAACTAGCGTCTCATTGTTAAGATTTGCTACCTATTTAACTTAATGTTAGGTAATGAAGCAATTTGTATGCCAATGTAAGTAATTTAGTGAGTTTTAGGCCAATGAAAGTAATATATATACTAATTTGTAGGCCAATGAAGGTAATTTACTTTCATAGCAGATCCCTCAAAATTTAATAATTTGATAGTCCCTTGTATTTTTTTGTTCATAAAATGACTTCAAGACTATGATGGAAATTAAAATTCCCTCTCAACGTGTTACTGTCCATCATTGTATCTATGAACTCTTTGGTATCTAAATTCATTTGTAATAATTATTTAATAATTAATTAAATAATTTTAATCAATTACTTTGAATTTAAATTAAACCTTGAATTAAATAAAATTAAGTTTAGTTAAATTAAATTTAATTACAGCTAATTAAAAATTGAAATCTTTGAGTATAGTAGCTTAATCACAAGCATTTTTGTGCATTTATCCTCCTTATATGAAGTTATAACTTAAGATATATTATTTCTCTGAGACCTCTTACATTTTAGTGCTGTAGCAAGTTACATGTTAGTGCTGTAGCAAGTTATATGTTAGTGCTGTAGCAAGTTACATGTTGGTGCTGTAGCAAGTTACATGTTAGTGCTGTAGCAAGTGACATGTTAGTGCTGTAGCAAGTTACATGTTAGTGCTGTAGCAAGTTACATGTTAGTGCTGTAGCAAGTTACATGTTGGTGCTGTAGCAAGGGACATGTTAGTGCTGTAGCAAGTTACATGTTGGTGCTGTAGCAAGTTAAAATGTAAGAATCCAAGTATTCCTTCCCATCAGTATCGCCAAAAAATTATGATTTCTTTAAGCTAACATTGTTAAACGAGAGATCATGAATAAGTTATTCTAGGTTTTAATTTTACATTAATAATTATAAAGCTTCAAAAAATTACACAATTATATTATTAAATTAAGTAAGTCGAATCTATAATGAAAAAAATGGGAGCTCAGCAAAGTTTGCTGCCTCATAACAGCCTGCAAAATAATAAGACCCTTTGAAACCCAATTCTGGCCTGAAAAAAAACAGGTCACATTCATAACAGAAATTTTGTTTTCCTAGAATTTAATTGACTTTTAATTAAGCCTTCTCGACATATTTATATCAGTGACAGTCCCGTAGTGATGGAATGGTAGTTATGGTAGTAACTGTGTTACTGTTTTTGATTAGGCTTAATTTTAAATCGGCTCTATTTCAAATGATATTTCGTTTTATGATTTCCTGTAATTTGGTAAACTAGCTCTATATAATATAGCTACGTATCGTGAATGGTATTGAGATATACTATCTGTCTCACCAATGGATAAGATTGTGACATCCAATAAAGATCATTATTTGCGAGCTTACTTCAGTCTAACTGATTGTCGGTGCTATTAAAATGTTTTTTATGAGCTAGCCAGGAAAAAGTCTAATTTCTTAACCAACCAGGCCTTCTTGAGTTTGATTCAATCGTGTCTACTTACAAGTTTTTTCCTGCTATTCAACTTATTAAAGATCCTATCCCTCCGCCATGAAGATTAAATTTATTTTGAATAATGATCTAAGTATCCAGGTTCTGTCCATCTTGGTTCAACATCCCTGAAATAGCGCCATGGCTCGAAGAAAGTACTTTACCAAACCACGCCTACTGCAAATTCTGCCAGAAAGATTTAACTGCTGGCAAGAGTGAACTTTACAAGCACATGAACACTAGCAAGCACCAAAGAAAGGCTGAACATTATGGCTTTGCACCTCCAATCAAACGTGAGGTGAGAGCTGAAACACATAATATCTGGTAAATTGGTATGACATTACATGGGTGTTGAAATTTTATTTCTAGAGTTTGTGGATGAATGAACAGAGCTTTTGTGACTGCATGAATTATATGTGTACGAGGGTCTATATAAAATGTATGAGGACTCGTTAAGATATTACCGACACTTGACACAATTCTGTTCCAGCCTCACGATGGCATGAATGATGTACTTGAAGTTGATTTTGACCTGTCACGAGACGACGACTCGAAGCTCTCGCCAGTGCAGGGCAACGCAGAGCGACCGCCCCCAGTCCCATCGAGATTGCCTGCTCTCCGTAAAGTAAGATCATCGGAATGAGAAAATTCTAGCCTTCCTGAAAATACTGGAATAAGTTCTAGCCTTCCAGAAAATACTGGAATAAGTTCTAGCCTTCCAGAAAATACTGGAATAAGTTCTAGCCTTCCAGAAAATACTGGAATAAGTTCGACCCTTCCAGAAGATACTGGAGCTTGTGTTTACCTAATCATCCTTATTATTTTAAGTGTTTTTCAATTAGTTTCTTTTCATACATTTTCATAGGCAGTGTCCTTGAAAGTTGGTCTTTAATACCCTTGTCCGTTGTATCGCCGTAGCCTTTGTGGAGAAAGTAATGGTACAATTATAATCTAAATATTTATTGGAATGCAATGATGGCGTTAAACTGAAGGGCATTGTCTTCAATTACGATTGGTAATTGAGGGGAAAATATTTTTGTTACAGTATGAAGTGTACCTAGCGGATGACATGCATGTCGCTAGCACGCCAGCGATGCTAGAGGTTGCCCACAACGTCAACAAAGACCCGTGCACTACAGGCAGAGTTCGAGGTGATCTGCCAGCTCATTAGGCAAGCAATGATGTTTCTGAATTGCAGAAGTTTATTGTACGTACATACTTTGATAAATATCATATTTATAGTAGAAACCAAAGAAAAAATCGCGATGTGCTGTTTATTTTTGCACTTTAATTTTGATATTGAGCAGTCTTCTGAAATTCTTGTAACAACTATGGCTGTGTGTGAAAATTGAGCGGGGGATTTCAAGAACAAGAATTCCTAAACTTCTTATAAACTCGACCAAAATAAAGTTTCGAAGTTTTGTTTTAGTATGGAGATGATAGAGTTTAAAGTTCTATTGTTGACTTTGGGGACTTACTTTTCACTGACAGAACTTGAGAAGAGAGTCGCCCAACTGCTGGACAAAGAAGACGCCATGTTTGTTCTAACGGGCAGCATGGCTAACTGTCTTGCAGGTGAGTCAAGGCTCTTTTTAGCGCAGTTTCTCCCTTATGAAAAAAAGGCGCTATTGTGCTCGCCATGTCCGTCCGTCCTTCTGTCTGTTTTCTGTCTGTCCGCCCGTGACTTCACGTTTTTGTCGATGAGAAAATGCGCTCTCTGTCATTTGCTGCATTGAGTACTGAGTTATATTTTTTTATACTAATTATGATTGGAAATACTTTATTTCCGGGAATATGAAATTATTTAGGGATAAATCCTTCCAAACTCAGACTTAGTTCTCTATCTGCCCACATCCTCAGTGCTAGCACACTGCCCCATCAGCGGCAGTCTGGTGATGGCTGGTGACCGTAGCCATCTCTACCGCCGCTGCCAGACCTCTCTCACGCGTGTACGTTCTGCATTAGCTGCATTACCCTTAAAAAAATAATTGTGTACGGTATATGATGCAAATTAATGTATGCATACAATTTCGTCTGATATTAGTGACAATTATTATCTATCAATGCTTTCTCTCAATGGGCTCATGGCTTTCTGAACAAGCCCATTGAAGTATTTCATTTGTTTACAGTTGGGCACATAAACTTTGGAACAAATAATTGTATATATGATGCCAATAAACGTATGCATGCAATATTATCTGATATTAGGGACAATAATTATGTTCCAAGGCTTTCTCATTGTTACGTGTTCACTGAACAAGCCTCTGGAAGTATTTCATTCGTTTACAGTTGGGCCAAGTCAACCTCCGTGTGCTGAGAAACACCGACGACGGGCGTGTTAATTTAGACGAAGTATGCAGTTTGATGTTGGATGAGGGAGACGCTGTGCAACCGTCGCTACTTTGTCTGGAGAACACCCACACCTTCTGTGGAGGGCAGGTCCTGCCTGAGCTATTCATGCAGCAGGTATTCTACGTACTTGTGCTTTCTATAATATTGTTAGTCAAGTTGTAAATTTGTATTCTATGTTTACTTGTGCTTTCTATTATATTGATAGTCAGGCTATAAATTTCTTTCTAATTGACTTTCTCGTTTAAATTATCATCATTGTTTGCTATTTTTATCGCTTCTAAGTTGATTTTTCGTTGTTGCAGGCTGGCAAAGTTTGCCGAGATTTTGGACTGAAGCTTCATGTTGACGGCGCACGACTGCTGCACGCTGCGTTTGCCTGCGACCTGAGTCCCTCGCTGCTGGCTGCTCAAGCTCACTCGGTTACTCTTTGCTTCAACAAGGGACTTGCGGCTCACAATGGCTCTGTTGTTGCTGGATCAAAGGATTTTATTGACAGGTAGTTTCTCAACCTCTTGTCATTGCATTTCCTGTACGAAGCTTCTCAGTGTTTATGGTTTCTCCAAACCTGCTTGTCTTTCACAGTTCCTTAGGTATTGAAGGTGTTCAATAGTGTTCAATATATGGCTATTTAAGACTATTGAACACTTTCAATAGAGTTCAATAGTGTTTATTATTGTTCAATATTTGCTAATGAAGACTATTGAACATGTACTCTATTGAAAGTGTTCAATGGTCTTCAATAGCCAATATTGAACACTTTCAATAGAGTTCAATAGTGTTCCATTCTTCGCATCTGGATACTGTCACCCGATATGGTGGTAAATTTTTATTTTATTTGGAAACATTCTGGATTATGGGTTCTGTATGTAAGGTTATTTCTTGTGGTATTTATTTTGGGATTTCAAAAAACGGAATATTTAGCCCTGGACATAGGCTCCAGTTTAGAATGTTAAACTCTAGTAGTAACATAGCTCATATTGTGCCCAGTTTCTACTAGTGTGTTCATCATCGCACAACTGAAAAGAACTTACTTCACCTCTTTGATGTGCAGATGCAGGCAAATATCTGACGTGTTCTGCACCTCCTCAGTGAAGCTGGAAGCCCTGGCAGCGACATGCTTGCGGGCGCTTGCAAACTACGTCCATCACATCGCCAAGACGCAGCTGCATGCCAGGAATATTTACAGAAGTCGGTACTGTGCCAGGAATATTTACAGAAGTCAGTACTGTGCCAGGGATATTTACAGAAGTCAGTACTGTGCCAGGGATATTTACAGAAGTCGGTACTGTGCCAGGGATATTTACAGAAGTCGGTACTGTGCCAGGGATATTTACAGAAGTCGGTACTGTGCCAGGGATATTTACAGAAGTCGGTACTGTGCCAGGAATATTTACAGCTTGCGATCTTGTCCGTGTCATCTGCTCATATTATGGTGGCTGTTTCAGACCCCTCCTATTTAGCGCATTTTCTCATTTATGGAAAAGGCGCTATTGTGCTCGCCATGTCCGTCTGTCTGTCCGTCCGTGACTTCACGTTTTCGTCGACGAGAAAAAGCGCTCTCTGTCACTCACTGCAGTGAGTACTGAGTTATATATATTATTATCATTCACTTACTATGTTACTATGATGGTTACTATGATGCGTCTGATGTAGATGACATGCTTCCATCTAGCGGTGGAAGGTCATAAATTCTAGTAATTCGTTCCTCTGATTGCTCGCAGTACGTTTTTCGAGTAAAAAAAATGTATTGTGCAGGTTTATCTCGGCTTAACACGACAGCCATCACCTTGGTTCCGTCCAATCTTCACACCAACGTCATCATATTGGAATGCGACGGCGTGCGAGTGACTCCCCAACATCTCACCGAGCGTCTTAGACTGGTCTGTCTTTGTTAAGAGTGTTGCTTGCATGCGACAACTGATGATTATAAGAACGTATTCGTGAACTCGTGCCTATGTCGTGTGTGGATCAATCACAAGCGTCTCAAGCTGGTCTGTCTTCATTCAGAGCGTGGCAAGCATGTAACAACTAATGATTTTTGGGCAGGGGCCCAGTGGTTACAGTTCAGCAGAGTACAGTTCAGAGAGCGGAGAGGCGCGGGTTCGATCCCAGCTCTGTGCGCCAGTTTCTGGTCAGAATCGGCGAGGAGGCCGGGCGGTTAAGCACAGCAGAATTGTAGCAGTGAGTTGCGAGTTCGAGACCGCAAAATGCTGTGAATGTTCTGCGATGTTAAGAATCGGCGGCAGGCCTACGGCCTAATAAACGCTGAAACCGCTATTATTATTATTATATTATTATTATAAGACCGTATTCGTGAACACGTGCCTAAGTCATGTGTGGATCAATCACCTAGCGTCTCAAGCTGGTCTGCCTTTGTTAAGAGTGTTGCTTTCATGCGACAACTGATGATTAGAAGAAAGTATTCGTGAGCACGTGTCATTACGGATCAAAATAAGTTGAGCGTTGCTAGCATGCAACAACTGATGATTAGAAGAACATATTCGTGAGCACGTATCAAAACCGTGTACACATCAAAATAGCACGGTGAAATCGCCCGGATGATATCGTTTTGAACGCGCAATTTGCCTTTTCTGCAGGTCCCATGGCTCGTTACCACTCGAATTGGTGTCTCTCTCGTTTGAGAACGAAGAAAAGAATAACAAATTATGTAGACGCATTCTTGCTCAATGAGGAGTTTACTTCGTTGCTTTGCCCAGTTATAACGCGTTGTGCTGACGCCGAGTGCGTAGAAATAGTTCATGTCCTCTTTGCTCGTAACTAATACCTAAAGGGGATCTCATTTCATGAACTTTTATGGATGCTCTCAAATTTTCGGCGTTCTGCGAGGTGCTTTTCGAGAGTTATTATTTTTTTTTTAACCGAAATCACAAGACGGAACGGCACGCTGCTTCAGTAAGAATACCACGCGTTTGCTGTGTATTGCATTAATTTCTTTCCCTTAATTTATCGAGCTGCTTGTTTTTAAACGTGATGATAATTTTCCGAAAGCAAAAACTAGATGACGATGTGCCACTGAATTGGCGATAAGTTGGCCTACCTACTAGACAAAATTTTACGGAGATGAATTATTGCAGACTTTAGTCGTGTTCTATTGATGTTGGTAATTTTCTTTACTGCTCCCGAAGAGTAGAAGTAATAAGATGTCGAGCATAATATTTTGATATATATCAGCACCGCCAAATACTTAAATTCTTGCTATGTTTGACTATTCGCACGTGCAGATACCGGCACACGAAGTAAAGGAACTGGCGGAGCGTACGACTGTCGTGGCGAAGGTGAGGTCGTACAACACTGTACGACTGATGACTCATCCTGGTCTGGGGCAAGCTCAAGTTGCTGCGGCTATCAAGAAGCTCAAGTTTGTCATGGAAGAGTATGACAATTACCTTGTTTTAGAATGTGATATGCCCGAAGAATAAATGTTGACTTCCTAATCAGAATTGTGTACAAAATTAAGTACATATAAATATGAGTTAAACCGTGTCATTAAATTACCGTAAGCAATCAAGAAATTGAACCCAAAGCAACCGTCTGGGGATTATAAATTACAATCTATAGAAAATACGCGATGATAATTTCAAGCCCAACCATAGTAGTATTGAAATTTCACTGGGATAGAAAAAATTCACTGCGAATTATCGGTATGACTGTATTTAATTTCAGTTCATCTAATCACGTTATTTCTGTGGAGCGAATTTGTTCGGATCCCGTACGCGACATAACGTTTATTAGTTGGAAAAAATCTTTATTATGGCGTACTGAAGAGTCTATATGGCTTCATCAAAATAAGAAAGTCACCTACATGGTGAGGTCCATAATAGCATTAACGATATCATTATTGTTGGCCCGAAGCGCCTTACAAGCCTTGGCTCTGGAAACATTAGCTTGAGACACAACAAGTTCTATATCTTTTTCTTCGAGGCCACTGTAGTCAACCTCGCCATCTTCCTCTTCGTCGTCTTCGGGGATGGCAGGAGCTGCAGGCACGCCTGGCAGGCCGGTGCTGATACTCAGGTCGCCACCGCCACCTGCCACCGAGCTGCTGCTTTCCTTCAGTTTCTCAGCCGCTGCCATCTGGGCTTGCTGGCTCATATCCTCAATCTGTAAGGAGGCATATGTTCTTCCTTATATTGAATAACCACATTGATACCTTTCATTCTGAAGTTCAATAAATCCGTTACAGAAAATTAAAATACAAGAGTTTGTTAAACTAAATATATAGTCACGACAAACATCCTGACATGTAGCACTAGATTTGATTTCATTATTTCAAGATAAGGAACATGCTTTGTTACTCGGCACTCACTTCGATAGACTATCAGACTAAACCTAGTTGTTACCTTTGCTTCTCCAAAAACGATGTATGTGTCAGAGACGGGATTCTTGTACACGTCCGGCTTATTGATGACAAAAAGGATGTTCTTACTCTTGCGGATCGTAACTCTATTAACACCAGCGACGTGCTTTAGGCCAAGCTTGCTCATCATCTTGCGGGCCTTCTTTTCAGCACGGCTCTGTTTGCCTCCCTGTAAAAAAACATTAGGTTTTAAAGAACAATAAGAGTATAAAATATTGCTATCATATCGAGATAAAGCAGATAGTATGGCACAGCAATAATGAAGCTTGTGGCAATTAGTCCTTTTAACTTTAGTAGCAAATGTACACTACAACCTTCAGGAAGATATGGCACAGCAATAACGAAGCTGTGGCAATTACTCCTTGTATTTTTAGGGGCAAATGTACACTACAACTTTCAGGAAGATATTATGGCACAGCAATAACGAAGCTGTGGCAATTACTCCTTGTATTTTTAGGGGCAAATGTACACTACAACCTTCAGGAAGATATTATGGCACAGCAATAATGAAGCTGTGGCAATTACTCCTTGTATCTTTAGAAGCAAATGCACACTACACCCTTCAGCTGTTACTGAGTGCTGGTCTCCATCACAGACCTTGCTCTCCATGGTTGGTGATCGATGAGCAGGATCAGTTGAATCTTTGCTCCCAGCAGCTGGCGCACCAGCCTCCAGCTCAGGCAGACTCTCGTCTGTGTCTGAGTCTGATCCTAAGTTCTGAACAGTGGGTTCGTCAGCTGGCCCATTGGCACTGCTGTCCAATTCTGTAAGCTGAGGCATTTTTCTAGGTTTGCAGTGAAAACCGTCTGAAAGTAATTGAAAAAATTCATTAGGGCATTACTATATGGGAAAAACAGTAGGTATGTGTTAACATGAAATGAATTAAATAGTATCTAAGTTAAATGTATTAAAAGGGAAGCCCATTAGGTCAGGAAGTGGCTGAGGAATAATTAGGCAATATCAAGTACCGGTAGCTATGAAAATAGTACTTATCTAGAGGGTTTGATTATTTTCAAACACCAGTCATTGTTGAGCATGTTAGAAGAGTATGTTAAGATCTTAGTCTTTCACAGTCAAAAAATCACCAGCATGTTTAGGGGTGTCCCATAATAGCCCATCTTGCGGAAATGGCTGCCATTTTGTTTTGGATTAAGGTACACAAATTCCGTCAATAAAGTTTGAAGCCAACACCTGTCTGCAAGTTTTTTTTTTATTATTTTGAGAAAAAAATTTTTAATGTGGCATTGGCATATACATTTTTTTTACTTAGACTTTAGCAGAAGTACTTTACCAAAATATAATTTTTCCATATTCAGGTATTTTTTAGAACTAGTAAATGTACAATTTAGCCCACTGTGCAGAGAGTGGATGAATATTGCAAGATCTTTGGCAACGCTTCAGTAGCCAAATTTTCGCCTTCAGAAGATCTTGCCGACACATTTAGATTGAAATTCTTGCATTTAATATATTTCTCAGTCTTCGGCCAACTATTTAGAAAAAAAGTAAGGTTTCCGGTGCGTTGGATGGAATACGATGCAGCAAAGCTTGTCCGAAAATCAGTTGCGATGAGTTCCCGCAAAAATTGTAAACAACGTTTTTTTCGATTGCGTAGTTTCGGTCACATTAGAGCGGTCAGACTGCTTTATTACATGTTCAGTTGACACTTGCTGTACAATCAGACTGTTTTTAGGGTAAAATTAGTTATTTGGGGTAACACGTGCATGCAACCTTGTAACTACGTTTGTGGCTTGTAAATAGTTCGTCATTACTCAGCATAAATGGCTTTTCATTAAAAATTACCCAGCGACGTTTTGGGCTTAAAAATCCATATATTGGCGACGCTGCATCCACCCTCTGCACAGTGGAATTTAGCCAATCAACTTCCTTTATGCTAGGTACATTGATAGGAAAAATGTCAAGTTTATGGCACCATTTTTAGTTTTTCAAAATTTCAATTAGTTTTGCTGCTATAACATTTTTACGCCATGACAGAGGACTGTCATGATTTACCTCACCAGTCTCTTATGACCCTGTTTGATGGTATATTTTCTAAAGTAGTTGTCTCTTACATATTTTTTTATCAATCTGTGATATGGAGCAGAATTTTTTTTATCTAAAAATCAAGCTTAAGAACAATCATTACATTGGTGATTCTTTACAATAGCAGGCAAAAAAAGCAACTTTCCTTATTTCAAAATAAGGAAATTAAGAAAGAGCCATTGGCAGGCTGAAATTGACTTAAAGTCAAGATGTTTTTGTTTTGGTCACTTGGTGACTTCTCCACAATGATTGCTATCAGATGTTGAATGAATTACTTCTAAAATCACTTTTTTGGCACAATAACATAGTTCTAGAATCTAGATCAGGATGGCATTCTAATTTCGAAGGTTCATATATTATTTTGATCCACCAAGACCACTTTTTTGATCCAACATCATTATTTGAGGCAAAAAATGAACTTCTTAAAGGCTTAAAACATGTATGCTAACTTGCTCAGTTTCTATAAAGTACCTAATCACTTGGAAGTTGCAAGTCTGCACCTTTCACTCAACAATTAAAATTAGACTTATAAAAAGTATTAGTTANCATGTGAATGTAAGCAGTGAAGGAGTCGAAGTTTATCTCATAATTTTATGTGAAATCGAAAACTTTGTGGGTGTTGTCCAATCGTGAGAATTTTTTATGAAGCTGGATGTGTTTTTTTTATTTTAGAACGTATTCATTGCAAAAATGTGTCCGCTAGCCTACAGATAAATGACTAGTTAACTTGATTAGTCGTTGGCAACATGGGATTGGATTTCAAACCACGCGCAATTTCGGAAGCACAGCTGTTCCAAATGTGCTCAGTTCATTAATTTTCATTGCAGTGGAAGCACTGGAAGGTGGTGTAACGCGGTGGTAGGGTTGGTATTTTGATACGTTTTCTTATATTGACATGAGAATATATTACCTGTACAGAATTCCACATTCTAGATAGATATAAATAAAATTTATTAAGAAACAGAAGGTTTTTGGCAGTCTGCAATGATGGTCAGGTCACACCATCACATGGTTAATAGTAACTAGGAATCAGGATGGAATTCTAATTTTGAAGGTTCATATATTATTTCGATCCACCAAGACCACTTTTTCTATCCAACATTGTTATTTGAGGCAAAAAATGAACTTCTTAAAGGCATAAAATACATAGGCTAACTTGCTCAGTTTCTATAGAGTACCTGCTGTCTCTTATACACATCTAGATGTGTATAAGAGACAGGGATTGGATTTCAAACCACGCGCGATTTCGGAAGAGCGGCAGGCAGTTTCAATGAGCTCAGTTTATATGATTTCACTGCAGTGGAAGGTGAGGTGGTGTAACGCGGTGGTAGGGTTGATTTTTCGATACGTTTTCATATATTAACATGAGAATATATTAACTATACAGAATTCCACACTGCTAGGAATACCTAAGTTAGATAAATCTCAAGTATTAATCATCACTTTGGCAAATGGCAATCCAGTACAGTAAGCATATGCCCATGCCCCATAGTGGCAAAGCAGAGAGTTTTTTAGACTCTCCCTCAAGTTCATTTGTGAGTCCTATAAGTAGACCAGTAAAGTATCCTGGATACCAGCAGTATCATACATAAGAAATTGATTTAAATCTTGGGTAAATGAGGAAATTAAAAATGAGCTGATTCTAAAAAAGCTGTGGTTTGCCACTATGCGGCATGCCCTATGCAGCCTATGGCTATGGTCACAGTCACACCACTGACATGACAACAGCTCTTCTCACCAGTGACTTCACAGTTCATACGTTTACAACACTACAGTAGCTTCACGATAGCTTTCTTAACAGAATTCACAAAAAAGTGTTCAAGTTATTGTTACAAAGACAGTCAACAAATAAGTTTGATCCTCTGCAGAGAGTTTTTCCGGCTGGCGGACCAGATACCTTTGTCGAGAATCCACGTATGAGCGGCACATGGTCACAAGTTGAGGAGCCTATAGGCAATAGCCATGAGTTTCCAAAAAGGATACAGCGTTTAAATACTACTTGATCCGGTATATTTTGCTTTATTTATTTCGCATCCATTCCACTCTGGAATACCCAATTATGCCGGTAAACTACAAGATAATAGGAAATTATAAATTAAAGTAGATAATCTGTAAACTTACCTGCACGTACACGCGTAGAAGGAATAAGTGTGATGCACACTATTTTTGTCCGCTTCAAATTTGGGGTAACTTATCGTTGAAGTTAATAATTACTTGATACAATAAACTCTTCACATGAATGTCAGCTTACTGAATATACCCATACTCTCATGATTAGTTCGGAAAGAGGATTGAAAAAATATCGCATTAACGTACACGCTGGAACTAAGAAACTTTGATATTACTGTCCGTCAAGAAAGCTTGAGAATACTCCATTAGTACCCATTCCTTAATTACACGTAAAAAAACATCACAGTAGTAATTTGAGTTAAATTTGATCTCAAAATGTTCATGAAGTAATTGGGAATGTCCGTAATATGGAAAATTAAAATTTTTTATATACGTCTCGAACAATTTCACGGCAGGACTGGCGACCATTCTCCATTTCAATGATCAAGGGATCTCTCACTGAATCGACACTTTTGAACGCCCCAAACTAATGAACGCCCCAAATTAAAAAAAAAAGCCTGAACCTTTGTCGTAAGAAACGTCTCGGACATATTCACGGCCGGACTTGCGGCAGGTCTCGCAGCCGGTGTCCAAATTCAGTGAGCATGGAATATCTAGCGAAGTGATGAACGTAGCTCGATGAAACTTGGTACACGTACTCATTAGGACCTAACGGTGATGTTTAGCTCGTGCAAATTTTTTCAAATTTCGCAATCATTCCTGAGTTATATGACGATACGTGACGAAATTTGCAGTAAGCATGACATTTCTTCTAAACTACTGTGCAGATTCGAACGAAACTTTGCACATAGACACATAACCTCCCAAAGGTGATGTTTAGTTCGTGACAATTTTTTAGATTTTGCCTTCGTTTACGAGTTTATTTACATTTTTTCCACATAAGGCGTGCCAGCATAGACCACGTTTACTTGAATTGCTGGATCTTAAGCACAATAAGATCATATTGACCCGGGTGCTTCACCAGATGCATCAGGTCCTTTTGTTAGTTAGCAATGTATATTCAAAATTTCAATCAAATCTGTTCAGTTGTTGGGAATAAATTCCTTGATCACTGCGAATTTTAACATAACATAACATAGTGATCTCGGCGCTAAATTGTAGGCCTGATGTGGCCTGTCGCCGATTCTTTTCCTTTTCGTGCCTTGTTCACAAAAGATCTAAAAACGTGTCATTTGACCGGATCTTTTCATGATTGACGATAGTTTGAAATAGCTACTCGACTTCCACAGGGTTCGATATGGTGCAAGGCATTTCAAATCTGAAGATATATTTTTCCATAGCTTTATCTAGTCTATTCCTGAACGCGTTCATACCTGGAGCGCCAACGATGTCATCAGGGAGGCTGTTCCACATGTCGGTGATTTGAAGCGAGAAGAAATTTTAGCGCGTGGAGAAGTTGCAGCGTAGTTTTTTAAGTTATAGCTATGGCCCCTGATGTTCGTTCTTGTTTCAAATTCTAGTAATCCTTCGGGGACCTTGTACAAACCACGAGTGTACATGTATACTTCAATGAGGTCCCCACGCAGACGGCGATAACTGAGGCTTGGAAGCTTCATAATCTTCAATCTTTCTTCATAGGAGTTGCCCTTCAAGCCTGAAATTATCCTTGTTGCACGTCTTTGAACATTCTTTATTAAATTTTTGTCCTTTTCATATCTCGGTGATCACACAACGTTTCCAAACTCCAGATTAGGGCGAACGGCAGCAACTAACAACTGCTTCATCGCTTCTGCATCTAAGAACTCGTATGAGCATCTGATTAATCCAAGAAGTTTGTTTAATGTGTTTACTTGCGTTTCAACATGCATAGGAGTTGAGTTCTGGCAGTGATCGAGGACGCACGTAGTGTTTGCGGGTCCCAACTTTCTCACTTCTTACTATGCCGGTTTGACTTATCTCGCGAATTTTGTACCGAAACGATTTCAGTGAAAGGTTCAATGTTAGTGCAGTTCAATCAAAATTGTGCGAATAGTGAGAAAAACGGCTAGTACAAGTGTTTTATTCCCGACAAATTCTAGTGCGTGAAACGAGGGCAAGTTTTTGAAAACCCTCGGCGA